ATGATGGTTGCTAATATGGTAGTATTGCGCTTGCGTAAGTAGGATAACACGATATTTTTAGGATCATGTTAGACTGACCTGTCGTGTGCGAGCGATTAACCAATAATAAGGAAAAGGAGTCCGATTTTGATTTGAGTCAGATTATCATAATGACACCGGCGTTCGATTACTTCCTCCGGCGCTTATCGTGCACGTACGACTGCGCTCGATTTAAAGGGCCATTACGGCCAGAAATTCCCGAAAATGTAATGTTTTTTTTTTACTTTTCCTATTTCAAAGGTCTGGTTGAATGAAAACTGAAATATGGAAACCATTTGACTTCAGCGTACCAGATTTTATTCAAATTTAACTCGCAAATGGCTTATTCCTCCATACTGCTGTTAAAATCTGCAAGCTTCAATAACACATTTTTTTTAGATACATGTAGTTGATTGAAGGATGAAATCCGCTTTTTAGGGATTCATTATATCAAATGGTTTTCCTGTCACTTTGCAACAGGCAAAGAAAAGGGGAATATCACAGACAGTTATTGGGATGGTGTTCAGCGTATTTTCCTTGTCATACGGCATAGGATCGCTCCTAATAGGCAAAATGGTAAGTCCCTGTTTGGTCTAAAAATTCAATAAGACATTATTTAGGGGAACGCAAAATATCTCGTGTTTAATCTACAACATCTTTGAATGAGGAATGTGGGCTAACAGTAGACCTTTCTTTTGTTTGTAAATATTGGCGCCATTTTATATTGGCTGTCACAAGCGCATTAATTGAAGCCGTGGTTGGCAACATAATACAAAAAAGTCCCCATAATGCCATCAATACACAGTAAAAAAAGAATGTGTAGGAATTGTGTTGACGCTTTGTTGACAATGTTGTATTTCTAACAATCTAGTAATAATTGGGTTTTCTGTAAAATTCTTCTTCGTTTTTGCAGTGTTGTACCTTTCGTAGTTTTGCATCCCGTAATTTTGCCAACCAAGCGTAGAAAGGTCTATAGGAACAAAAATAAAACCGACCATTTCTTTCAAAAACTCTGTTCTCTACTCGCCAAAAGATGGCGCTATTTGGTTGTTAGCGCCCTCTACCGGCTCATTTTCCTTTTTTTGCTAATAGTCATTGACTTTAACATTACATGTACATGTATATGCTTCTTAGATACCAATCGTTGGTGCCCGTTTCGTGTTTCTCGCCGGTTCATTTTTCACGGGAGGTTGTAACATTCTGTTCGGGTGAGCATCAATCTCTTCATGTTCTCTCCTCTTTTTTTTTGCTTCATGGACCGTATTCACGAGGTAGCCATTTTTGTCATGTTCCCTAAGTGTATTTCATGAATTGTTAACTGCTGAATGGGGTGGCGCCAGACTATTAATGCATCCTTATTTTACTTTCATTTTTTTTTTAAATCTTGTTTAAAACATTAGGGAATATGTAAAATTACGAAGTGTAAATTATTCGTTTAACCCTGCGGGCTGCGCAGGGGCTTACGCGCTAGGCACTTTTTTTTTTCTTAACTTTTTTTTTATGAAGCTATCACCCAATTCCCTTGAAACTACATGTACATTGTATTTCTAAAGTGAACCTTGTGGTTTGAGATGGTATGGTCGCTTTTCTTGTAGGAGTTCACTTGGGGGTCAGCCGCCCCTGGGGAAGTTGGGCCTCCAGCCAAAGCCCATTCACTTGTGCACAAAAAAATTATCTGTGCTTTACATACCGCCGTCACAACAATGTCATCAATCATCCTCTACTGCTGGCCCAGTGACAGCTGTCTAGAGCCACAGAAAGGCTGTCCCGACGGTTTCATGTCCGTCTTTTTTGGGGGATCCAACATGTAATGGTCGATCCAACATGTAATGGTCAAGTCAATGTAATGGTCACAGTGCATGCAGTGTATAATTATGTACATGACTGTGCAGCCACAATGTCTGTGAGTGACCTACTGGAGGGGATTCAATCTTGTGTGGGTTCGGAGGACCTGCATTCATAATATTTAGACCATTAGAGAAAGGATTGTGTCCACAAAATAGTATTTTATACGCGAAATAAAAACTGCCTCACGCGTGAGCACCTCAGTTACGCGGCGTAAGTCTTTACGCTTCGCAGCTCGCATGGTTAAGCAGACTTGGATTATTTAGTAATGTTCCTGCTCTCAATTCTCTGCCCAAGTTCCAACGATTTTACCTCACTTTCAATTCAATAAGGCCCATTAGGCTACAGTTTAACTTTTGACAACTGGAGGAGCACTAACCGTTTTCTGTCCTATGCTTTAACACAGGTTTATTATCGACATGCCCACAATCGCTACTTTCACTGGGTTCAGTTTCGCCATTCGCATTTTAGAGGGGCTCGGCTCGGCTGCTGTGCTGACGGCATCAGCGGCCATCGTAGCTTCTGTATTCCCAGACGATGTTGGCAAGGCTGTGGTATAAAAAGTTAATTTCATGGGCAATTATATTACATTTGAAAGGTCCCGCGTCCGATTTGACCCGGAATCCCAGTCATATTTTGACCTGATACTTTTCCGGGTAAAAACGACATGTTTCCCGGGTCAAAATGACACTTTTCCAGATCACAATGACCCGAAAGATGACCACCATACTAATTAAAGGAAATAATGCGTGCATTTATGAGTATGCCTGGCCGTTTTTACACTATTTTTTAAGACCAATTCGTTTCTGGATGCTGATAATTTATACCCGAGCCGAAGTCTACGGTAATTTTCAGCATCGGTCAACAAATCAAAACGTTTCGGTCCAAAAGTCAAAACAAGTCCAAAATTATAAATGTCCAACGATTTTGTTCAACATTTTAACTTCATGTTTTTCGGACACCCCTTTTACTGTATTATGGTGTGTCAAGTCTCGCAAGTCGTAGAAAAAAAACCTCCTTATATGGAGTTTGGCGAGCAGGTCGCGCGTAGCGCGCGATTTGGCGCAGAACGCAGCTGTGCAAGTAATTGTGCATTGAGTACTATGAAATACTGACTCACTGGTGGTATTGCGCATGCCTACGTGAGGATTGTGAACGTTGAATCAATAAAACGGCAAAAGGCACCAGATTTCATAGGAGTCCAAATTCCATGTGACACTGGAAAAAGTGTTGAAGACCAGCCAGCCAGTCCTTATCAAACGTTTAAAATCGGCCATGTGACGGGCTCTCGAACAATAGGAATGGATAAACTGTCTTAGGTATGTGTATTGAAATATTCTGTCCTGCAAGAGGCAAACGTAAACTTGTATTCCGGCAGAAAAGTGACGACTTTTAGATTGGAGTAAATCATTCGCACGCGATCCGCGCATGCTTATAGTTGATTAATAAAGCACAAATCACTGGACGCGAGTTTACACTTCAGAGCACCTGTTTAGCTTCAGGTAAACTTATCTTTTTACATTGGTGCCCCCTTCTTAAATCAACAGAGTCTGGTTGAGACGACTGTCGGCTGTTCTTTTGCAATTGGGCCAGCAGTAGGCGGCTTGCTGTATCACGTAAGTATGGAAAAATTGCAATCGGAGTTAATGAGTTAACGCAATGAGTGCAGTTGTTTTCTGTACAAAAAAAATAATAAAAAAATAGTGAAGAGACAAATACCACCTCCTAAAATTTCCAGTCAATTGAAAGAAGCTGCACGTTAAAAGAACTGCACGTGACATTATTTTTGCCTTGGATGAAACCAAGAACAAATTTTTAGATTGAAGTAAAGTTGCCAAAGTGCTTGACCTTTTTATTAAATGTGATATTGTGTTATTGTACCAAGAAAACGACGTCTTCCCAGAGTCCTAACTTGCTCAACATACGGTGAGGGGAGTGAGGCGCCCTCTGTTGTTTGCATACAGAGTCAACAAACAAAAACAAACAAACAAACAAACAAACAAACAAACAAACAAACAAACAAACAAACAAACAAACAAACAAACAAACACCCCAATGAACACATGTGTAATGGTTTTGTTGATTTGTCTTACCAGGCTGCAGGATTTAGAATTCCTTTCTTCGTCCTTGGTGGTATCGTTCTGTCGACCGTTGTCGTCAATTTCTTCTTGATGCCTAATCAAGGTTTGAATCTTTAAAACCAATAAAATGTGGATATTAAAAAAGGCTGATAGAGCGATTGCATTCAGTGGCCATCTTTGAGGTTTTGGTTTACTCAAGCGTAGTGTCCCTGTTGAACAAAACCACACACCTCAATAGATGCGCTGCAACTGACGATCTATAAAATATGAGGTACAAAATGGTGCCAAACTCGTGGGCGAAGATGCAATTCCCGAATCCGTGTAAACTTACCTCAAGCAATCTTGGATTCACGTCTGTTGTTTTACCGCCCTAATGGGAAGACAGCGCCCTCATTGGCTGAAAAAAATGACCAATCAATGTTAAGCTGCAGTTAGCATCAGATTATAACCCCGGACATCAGTGATTAAATAAAACACGTAAAGCACCAAATTTGTATTTGCATTAATCGTACATGGGGGTACCAGACCAAATTGGGCGCCAGATTCAGGTTGTTGTTCCCTGCCGACTCCGTGCAATGTTATTTACCATTTCTGATCAGGGAACGAGGCTGAGGAGTCTGGTTCTGTGAGCCGAGTGCTCAGCATACCTGCCGTCTGGATTGCTTTATTCGCCAACTTTGTTGGCTTTGCAGCCTACGCGTCCCTGCAGCCAACTCTGGCAATTTTTCTGGACGAGGTAATGGAGACAAAATTGACATTTTTTTCAAATAACCTTTTTTTTAATTAAGATATGCAAGGTCTGTTTAAGTGGCAACGTTAAAATGGGCCATTCAGAGTTTTGATGATATCACCTTCGGTGTGTGTAAATTGTCTGTCCTTGTTACCGAGTTTAACCGCGCTTATGTTGTCACGTGACCACAAAAGTCGTGATCGAATTGGTCAATGCGCACTGTTTGATTAACAGGCAGGAAGAGTCCATCCCTACTCGAAAGTTTCCCGTAAAATACTTTTGAAGATATTTTTTTCTATACACATTTTATTTGATTAACACTTTCTTCTTGATAGCTTAACTTTAGTGTGATGGCGATAAGTCTGCTCTTTGTTAGCTTGGGTTTGGGCTACGGCTTATTCTCAGTGATCTGGGGTGCCATTGCGGACGCAAAGGTAAGAGCAAACGTTAATCGGCAGGGCTTGTGTGTGTGTGCTAAGACGTTACTTTCAATGACAATGGAAAGACAATGCATCGCTCCGAATTTGACACAAAATGTTCGAGATTATTTTGTAGCAGGATGTAACTTATTATAATTAGATGGAATTTTGCGTTGGGGTGATATCAATCAAATTAGGTTTTTGCCCTTCACCGACGTTTAAACACTGTATATTCAGTGTGTTACCTCCCAGTGAGAGTTGGAAAAAAATGACTCGGGTGGGACTCGAACCCACGACCTCCTGCTTTCTAGTGCAGATGTCTTACCACTCGACCACCGAGCTAACTGGATCGGTTGGCTGGTTTGGATCTGTTGTACATAGCAGCAGGTACCGCATAAACTATTATAAGTGGTGAAGGGCAAAAACCTAATTTGAAGGATATAACTTCATACTGATAATAATAATAACAATTATAAGAAAAAGCTCAATATTAAAACTGGGACTTTTTGTGTTAATTAATTTGAAAATTTTGATTTCCTCATGTCAGAAATGCGCTAGAACACTGATTGTAGTAGGTGCATCCAGCAGCGGGGGACTGTTTCTGCTGTTAGGGCTACCACAGATTTTGCACTTGCCTGTGTAAGTTTACCCTTCAAAAATCGGTTAATGTTAGGAACACCTCGAAACGCCTCACGCAGCGTTCCGTCCAGAACTGGTGCGTTATAGCAAACGTTCTTATATGGGAAAACTCGGTGTTTTCAGCAGTATGAACCAAAAAAAGTTATTTCCTTTACGAACAAAACACGTTAGTCACAAAACGCGGAAGAGTTTTCAGATCGTTAAGTAACGTTCCTGTTTTAACACATTTGCGAACGTTCCTGTATAATTATCAGTCGGAACAGCTCGGAAAACGTTTACACACCTGAAACGTATCTCCTACAGGACTGGGGTACTTCCTGGCGTTACCATACCCATCGCAGCCGCAACGTTTTCCATGTTGGCTACTCCAACGTTCGTAGACATGTTACGTTCTGCAGAGTAAGTGCAATTACTACACTGTTTGTTTTTAACTCTTGTAGCCGTTTATAATAACACATTATTGCTACATAACTGAAGCACAGAAAACTGCTGAAAAAAAAACATTCTAAAAAAAAAAGCAAAAACAAAAACAGAAATAACAGCCATCAGTGTTTAAATGTCCTTAAAACCAAATTGGACTTGGTCAAAAAAATGATGCACTCGTTCAGAGTGATATGCATATGATATGCATATTTAATTCAGAGATATGGAATGCCTTTTTTTTGCTCACTTTGTGTTTAATGTATATATGTAATAGGCTGCTGTTTTTTGTTTAAAAAAATCAACAGGATGAATAACAAGTCCAAGTAGCTCAGTAAAGCTTGTACAGAAGTTACACTATTGTACTTGTGAAAACAGAAGTTTTCAATTGATTGGATTAATACAATGTATAACCTCAATCCTACAGGTGGTATGGCATACCGAGTGGATTAGGATTGACTGCTGTTATATCTGGCCTTTGGAACAGTGCGTACGCACTCGGGTAAGAGGGTCAATAAGCCACCGTTGGTGGCGCTGTTTGCTGAAAGCGAGGTCCTCGTGCTCTCTTTTTTTTCTGATAAGGATTTACCAAGCAAGGGGGAAAAGTCGCCAGTGTAAATCAATGGTGAAAGCTTACACAGCCTCGGTTTGGCCGAAAGTTTGAGCCAAAAAATCCCGCTTGCGCAGTGTGTACTTCCTTTGCAACTTGGCCAAATAGTGCCACCTACAGTTCGTGCACCGAATGCATTTTGCTAAAGATTTTTTTTATTTAGATACGACCATGTTCTCCACATGCTCCTTCTCCTCCTTCTTCATGCTGCCAACATAGTTACATAGTACCTGTATAAGTAAACTTAACAAAACATGAGAAAAAGGAACAGTTGATACAATAATTTGGTTACATACTTTTTCCATTGGCCTTTAAAGGGAATATACATCATTTGCTTTTGCAGTAATTTTCAGAAAAGGATGGAATTGGGGGGTTGGAAATATATAGAAAATATAGTTACACTGACTTTTTTGAGGTTTTGGGTCCGAAAATACTATAAAAACCAAGAAAAACAATCAATTTCCCGTAGTCTGGTTCCCTAACTCCATATAAGAAGAAACAGAGCAGTTTACATACATTGGGGAACTGTAAGGTCAGGGAACCAGTCTAGCTGGCTTGTACCCGTTCATAGGTGTGTAATCGATTGCAAACAAGTGCAATTGTCAATTGGGGCCAGTATTTGAAAATAAAGCCAGTCTTTTCCAACGCTGGTCGGCCGACCAGCGTTGGAAATTGATACAAAAATACCTTTAAATACTTTTCTTGAAAATGACAGTATACCAGGTGCCATGATTTTACAGGATGCTTTACACTGTCATTCACTAACAGTCCAGCAAGGTATTTCAAATTGATTTGGTAGTTTTATTTTTTGATGTTTGCAAATGTTGTATTTTCCCTTTAATATGTGTATCATCCCACAAATACAGTAATTTCTTTCATACTAAAGATAGTGTATATCTCTTGAATGACCACCAGAAATGGACACAAATACATTTTGATTTATCCGATTAGCTCATTGACGGGCCCGTTGCTAGGGGGCGTCATCACAGAGTATTACGGGTTCGGCTATTCGATTATGACCATCGCTTGTACCTCTTTCGCTGTTTTGATCATCACGTGTCTTTTTGGCATCTGGGAGTTTCGATGCGGAAAAGGGTAGGTTGCACATAAACACTGAGAACGTAAAAGGAGGCAGTACTATATAGGTTAGTCCTTACAATGTCAACACTTATCTCCTGAGCGCCCCTATTTTCCGTTTTTAATAATCTAGAAACGTGGTACCGCAGTCGTAAGCAAACTTCAAACCCTGGTCCTGCTAAGGGAAACCGCAGCGGGGGATTAGCGACTAGACCAGCCGTCCACTGCGGCGATTATCACAGTTCTATTGAATTTATTTATACAGATCGGCGAGATGAAAATAACGCTGTGTGGAAGTCTTTACAAAGGTACATTGATGGGTGAAGCTGAAGTGTGTTGCTTGAATTGGAAGACGGGAGCATATACCCGTTTTGGGACAAAAGGTCTGTCGTTGACAAGCTGCAATATAATGCCCGTAGTTCTGAAAAGCTGTCGTTGTAAATGGGTTGAGAACAATGCTTTTCCTCGCATTGGGTCGGCCAAAATCGTCGTAACAGTCGAAGTCTCGTTATGTCCGTGCACGTAATAACCAAATATGTCCCAATAGTTATATACACACATTGATCGGGACTGGGAGAATGTGTTCGTTACAGTCGGGATATCGTTATGACCGAGCTCGTTATAACGGCAGTCGATTGTATTTGTCAATATAAACACAGACTTGAAATCTTGCATACCTTTATCCACAAGCACAAGCCGAACGAATAATGACGGTATATAGCGGCTGATAGCGCCCTCATGAGACAATTTATGGAGAACGAGGTCAGAATGGACCACCGTGATTGGAAACAACGTATGACTTCCTCAAACAAAGGTCATTTAAGCCGGTGAAGTGTGAATTTAAGACTCTTTTATGATATAAGCTCTGACAGAAGCTTCTACATATTACTTAATACTTGATGGTCGGATCGGTTGGTCTGATTTGTCTGTTTTTCTCGACAATTGGCCAACATGTTTTTGCCATATTATGTGCCACCGGCGTCGCATTTTTCGGAGTCACATTTTTCGGCGTCGCCTTTTTAAGGTCTGACAGGGATCGTTTTAATCGATTTCTTCAGTGCAAGACTTTCCTGCATTCATGCAAGACTTATTCTTGCAACAGCCAGTGCTTATTGTGCACACGTACACGCGGGGTTTAACCAGTGGGTATAAAAGGAAACCGATTTTCATTGGAGTCTAATTTTCATATGACACAGCGTTCATTTCCGCACGTGACACTTCAGTTTGACTAACCCACAATTCTGTGCGTTTCCGAAAGAATATTCATATTGGACACAGACTTGAGATTTGTCTGCAACGTACACATTTGAGTCACGAGTTTTCTCACTCAAAATGTAATATCCACTGACATTACTCTGGACAATTGTAAGTTAAAAAGTCTTTTCATTAAGTGAAATTTGCAATCTTGAACATTATACAAGCAAAAGGTAAATCTGGCTCCTCTTAAAAACTTGTACATTCTGATTTGTATTTACCTTGTAGGAGGCGGGAACCACGCGAGGCTTTTTCTTCGGAGGACAACTCGAATGATCAGGAGATGAGACTACTGTCTTCAAAGTAGATTGGCAATTGGTATAACTGTATATTACCCATCTTGCTGCAAATGTCCAGCGTAACTGGAATGTTTTTGTTTCTTTTCGTTACATACTTTTATGGTTGAGTTTATCTGGGAGCCAACTGGACTTCCAAATATGGTTGTGCCCAAACTTGGGAGATGACATGGATTCAGGAATGATTATAAGCTCGCATGACAGGGGTAGTAACATCACACGCTTTTGTATTATTCAACTAAACTAGCGGGGTGGAGTCATACACGTACTGTACTTATGTTTACTTTGACCTCAATTTGCATGTTGACCACAAGTGGGCGTGGTAAGTCTTGTTGAAAACATGCAATATAAGACAATTACATTGCACCTGAAACAACAGTACAACAACCCATCAGTATCTAGTGCTGAATCAACTGTGCCAACAAAAGAGAAACATCTGGCATGTCTGGTAGGCCTATAGTCTCTATTTGTACACATTTCCTCATAATGTGCAACATATTGAAGACAATTATCCCTTAAAAAAATGAATTGAATCTTCAAACTTGGTTGGTGAAATACTGAGGACCTTTTTTTGCCAAATGAAATTGTTTGAGACTTCATGCTATCATTTTGCATGTTTTTCAGCACTCAAGCTCCCAGTCCGGGATAATATGAGCGATTTTGAACTAGGCTGTCTCGATACTGCTCCATAATCTTATAATGTAGGTCTTAATGATGAGTTTAGTGAAGAACCAACATGAGAAGTTTCATGCTTTAGTAACATTGTATCAGCTATTTGACTTTAATAGCCCCACTACTGCCGCTAAAGATTCAATTTGGGCGATTCACAATGCACTGCGCCACCAAGATTTTGCCACGGAGAGTTCGTTTTTCAAGGTCACAGACGACAAAACATGGCCCATTTGAACGAGTGTCAGTAGGAAACCTCCGCTAATTTGTTATAGATTGGGGCAAAGCGTTCTGCCGCCTTAGAAAAAAAACCTCGATATTGATAAAACGAAAAGAAAAGGGCAAACAGATACTCGAACTTTCTGGCCTGAAAAAAAAACTAACAATTTCATATGTCCCGCGCTGCGAGTGACTATTTGAATCAACTTCAAAAGCTATAACACGTATCACACTTCTAAGATCTAGAGAACTCCGAATCTGTTTTAAGTAATTGAAAAGTCAGCTAAAATTTGAGAAATCACAAACGTTCACCTAAAATGTGACAGGATTGAGTCATAATGATATCTCCTCTGCAGCTTAAGAAAAGAAGTCCCATTGAATAATTTGTCGAACAATATTTTTAACAACCACTAAATTTGGTAATAATTATAGCAACAACAAAAAAAGAACTACACATAAACATGAAAATATGAAAATTACACATGACATTGTTTTCACGCCATAGCTTTTGTATGAGCTACCACCAATTGCTCTTGCTAGTGCACGTTGCATTCAAGCCAACAACAAACTTTACAATCTAAAGCAATTCTTACCAGCAGTAATCTTCCCAGAAAACTAATCCCTTTACTTGTCAAATGTCTACTTTCCGTTTTGCAAGCAGGAATATTGAAGTTGTTTGGTTTGAAAGCAATCGAGGTTTGGTGATAAGTCATGTTCAATACCATATTAACATTTAGATATAGTTTGCTCTTTTTAGGCATTATTTTACAGTTTTCAAATCGCAACTCATTCAAGGGGGTTTAAATATCACAATTAATATAACAGCTTTGTCTGCCGCCCAAACAAATAATATAGTTTTAACCAGTGAAAATAAAGTTTACTTCATATCCTTGCAGCATTGTAAACGTTACCATACATTACGATACACCTGTTACTAAAAAGTTCGTTCGAGATTTTGCACGAGCGATGTCCTGGTTTGTAGTTTATAAATAAGTTGATTTTCATCAATATTTATTGCACGTCATTTTGGTACAACTGTCTTATTCAACTATGAGCTATTTTGTTAACCAAATTTGGTCTGATCAACAAAATCTAGTAAAAATAAATGCAGCATATTTCAGTTGGAAGCATTCCGATTCGTCCTAAATTCGGTAAACTCGTCTTATGTGGTGATGGGCAATGATTTGAATAAAGCAATTATTTTATTTATTGTGTTTGTCATTCATATCAATATTGTTGTCATCGAATTTCGTTTCTGGTAATTTGTGTGATACAAGTATTAAAATAGGTAAGAAAACCTTTACAAAACTACCATCTTGCCAAAGCTAATCTTAAAAAATCGCGAAAGCAATGTACAATGCAAGGCTAGTGCGAACAATATTTAGACTTATAAAACGTGCACAATTAGATTGATATATGACATTTTTTTTCACTCTTTATCTTCTGTACGATTTACCGCCATAGATAAACACCAAACAACAGTACTTGCGAGCATTAATCGCATTCAAAACAAATTATACCTTCGACCATGTTCATAATTTCGAAGAAAGTTGACGAATTGCCTAATCATTAACTGTCACGTACCAGTTTTACTATTCCAAAACAGAAGTGACTTTCTGACAAAACTAACCCCTTGACTTGTCAAATTTCTGATTTCAGTTTTGCAAGCAAGATTGTTTAAGTGGTGTGGTTCAAAAGCAATCCAGGCTTGGTGATAAGTCATGCTCGATACCACATTAAAATGTAAAATTAAAAAGATACAGTTTGCTTTACATGCATTATCTTTCAGTATTCGAATCTTACTCAATCGAAGAGTTCTATAAATATCAAAATTAATAAACCAGCTTTGTCTGCCGCTAAAAAGAAAACAATATTTTTAACCTGTCGCGCAAAAATGAAAATAAAGTTTACTTCATATCCTTGCAGAATTGAAAATGTAGACAACTTTCTGAACGTTGATCACTTGAATCAATATGTAAAGGTTACCATTCATTACGATATAACTGAAACGTTCTTTCCTGAATCACCGAACTGCATCACTTAAAGTTGTTGGCATGCAGCACTAAATCAACTTTAAAATATAAAATAGTTAACACAAGAGAACACGGACTATGTTTTGAGTAAATATGTTTTAAAACGTCAACAACAAATTTGAAGATTTACAAACGATCATCTGAAACTCGGGCTGAATGTACGTTAATTCAAGATAAAATTATGTTGTCGAATCACGGAGAACCAGATTCTATAAGTGCAAGATTGTGCAAATAATGTTAATACTTCTAATCTGTGCTCAATCAGATTGATACATGATAATTTTTTCAGACTCAATTGCTGATTTTATGAGCTACCACCTCAGAAAAAAATACACCAAACCTTGGTCCTTGCCACCGTACATCGCATTCAAATCAAATTATAGCTTCAAACCTCACAATAACTTTGACTAATTTTACGAATTACATAATCAGTAACTACCACTAATATACGAAGTTTATATTAACACAACCAATATTGTTTTACTTTCCAACCAAACAAATTCGATTATTTAATTACAATTTTGCCAGCGATATTATTAAATGGGAGTGGTCCAAAAGCGATCGAGACTTAATAAAAAGTAAGTGTTGACACAACAATATTAATGAACATTTAAAATTACTAGTAGATAGCGTTTGGCATTTACAAGCGTCTCTTGTACAGTTTTTAATTAAAAACCTTATATAAAAAAATATATATATTTCCCTCCAAAAGGTGATAGCAATGTTAGCATTATATCTATGCAAGCAAGTAACAGCCAGCTAAGAGATGCTGTCATCTTATTAAGGGGATGTTTTGTAGGTTTAATTACTCTGTTTAAGACCGCTTGGAGTCTGGGTGCTGATAATTACCCAAGCCTAATTCATACCGACCAACCACATATTTATTCCCATTCATAAATACCTTTTCGTTCAAGAAATATAAAATTGTCAGTCACAAAACCCCGATTTTGTTCAACAAGTTCACTTCATGTTTTTGGAACATCCCTCTAGCTAAATAATGGAGTGTCCAGCTCGCAAATAAGATGTAAACAAGACCTTTTATGGAGATTGGCGCGCACGTCGCGCGTACTGCGCGGTGTCGCGCAGATTGCATTCACCTGGGGCGTTTCGTTGTGAATTAAGGACTACAAAATACTGACTCACTGGTAGTATTGCGCATGCCTACATGAGGATTGTGAATGTTCAACCAATAAAACAATAAAAGGCACAGGATTTTTAGGAGTCGAAATTTCATGTGACACTGGAAAAGTGTTTTAGACCAGCTAGCCATGTCTTTACCATCCGTTAAGACCGGCCACGTGACGGGCTTTCGACCAATAGGAATGGCTAAACTGTCTTAGGTGTTTATGAATTAATGTTAATCGTTTACATTAAAGGGAAAATACAACATTGGCAAACATCAAAAAATAAAACTACCAAATCATTTTGAAATACCTTGCTGGACTGTTAGTGAATGACAGTGTAAAGCATCCTGTAAAATCATGGCACCTGGTATACTGTCATTTTCAAGAAAACTGGTATTTTTGTATCAATTTCCAACGCTGATCGGCCGATCAGCGTTGGAAAAAACTGGCTTTTTTTCCCAAATACTGGCCCCAGTTGACCATCACACTTGTTTGCAATCGATTACACACCTATGAACGGGTACAAGCCAGCTAGACTAGTTCCCTGACCTTACAATTCCCCAATATATGTAAACTGCTCTGTTTATTCTTAAATGGAGTCAGGGAACCAGACTACAGGAAAATGATTGTTTTTCTTGGTTTTTATAGCATTTTCGAACCCAAAACCTCAAAAAAGTCAGTGTAACTATATTTGCTATATATTTTCAACCCCCCAATTCCATCCATTTCTGAAAATTACAGCAAAAGCAAATGATGTATATTCCCTTTAATCATTAAACATATATTTTTTTGGTTGAACGTTCATAATACTCTCGTACATAAGCATGCACAATACTACCAGTGAGTCAGTATTTTATTGTCCTAAATTCACAACACAACGCCCAGGTGCATTCTGCGCACCATCGCTCAGTACGCGCGACGCGCGCGCCAATCTCTTTTTAAGGTAGGGAGTTGTAGAGGGACAATCCATATTATAGTCAGAGTGGTGTTTGATGCAACATGAACTAGAGGGACAATCCATATTGTAGTCAGCGGGGTGTTTGATGCAACATGAAGCAAATTTGTTGAGCAAAATGGTTAGCAATGTCTAGTTTGGACTTGTTTTGATGTTTGGACGGAAACTATTTTTGTTTGACCAAAAAGGTATTTATGAATGGGAATGTATGTTCGGTCGGTATTAAACACTCTGTTTAAGACCGGTTGGAATCTGGAAGGGTGATAATTACCCGAGGCGAAGACCGGTTGGAGTCTGGATGGGGGATAATAAACCTCGGCTTCGCCTCGGGTAATTATCACCCTTCCAGACTCCAACCGGTCTTAAACAGAGTGTTATTATACCTCCCGAACACACACTTATTCCCTTACTAATAAACCCTGCGCTGAGCGCTCAAAAATATCTCGGTCTAAGTAAACAAACGGCTAAAGCCACATTCTGAAAAGCTCATAAAATTCCTCGGAGAACATTATTCTTTTGCTCAACTACACAAAGCTATTTAACGAAGTTGAAGTTAGTTTGTTTTAGCTAAAAATGTTGGTTTTTTTTGGATGAACTCGTCCACCCTTACCTCAAAACAGACAAATGAATAATAACCTTTATTCTAGTTCAGTTACGGCTGGTGTCGAACCTCCGTCCTTCAGAGTTCCAACTCGTCGGTTCTCCACCAGAGTGGTCTCCTTTTTGGCCACTATATTTGTTCTCTGTCGCTTTTTATAAGCCGCTTTTCATACGTCGAAAGTCTGTTGTTACATGAGTATTTCAAAGCAATAGTTGATTAGTAATTTCACTAATCAATCGTTAAAAAAAATGAATTCATTATACACCGCATTCAACTAATCATCAGAGTAAAGAGATTTTGCCAAAGCGATGTCCCGGCTTGTAGTTGAATTCCACCGATATATATTGCACAGCATTTTGGTATAACTGTCTTATTGAATCCGGTCGCTATTTGAGAGAATTCAGAGTGTTTTTGCTTTGACACTGAACAAATAAGTCCGATAAAAAAAAGTAGTCAGATTCATTAAGTTTCAGTCACATCTCCACCAATGTGTCTATAGCAGTAATCTGTTTTTCGAGTAATGCATGCTCAAGCAATTGAACTTTGGCATTAGTGGAAAAACGTTTGAATACCTGATACAATCTTGTTTGCTAAGTGCTTATCGTGATAATAAGCATACAAAATATGTTCAATTGCTGGTTGTTCGCATTTGCATTCATGTCACATCTTGACTAAAATTTAATGCCCTAAAAATATTCAAAGTGGTAACAACAGTGAATTCGGAGACACGCTTTACGCGTTTTTGTTTTAATTTGGTGTTGTTAATGAATGTGGATATATATCACGTCGTTTTAGGTTGACGGTCAAAGTGAAATAACGCGTTTAAGTAATCTCATATTGCTAATCGAGTCTTCATATCGCACTTTTTCAAGGAATAAAGTTCACCCCTCCATAAAACCCATGTTATGCCTCGCCTATCTCCATTCTGTTCCCATGATGAGTTAAAATACAAACCATTCAGGTTTGACTGAGAACACGCCACATACCACCAAGCTCCATGCACGTCCTCTGCGCAGTTAATGATCGATACCAAGTCATTGTCGTTGTCCCTCGTTGAAAATGGCCAATGATTGTGGAATGTCGGTGAGTCTCCAGCCGTACTGTCCGCATTGTACGAATCAAAACTCAGACTGTAATCATCTCCTAAGATCCGGAAATCTCCGTACTCGGCCCAGGCCGTGTTGCCATCCCAGTCCTCTAAATCGATTCGAAGGTCCCAAGATCCAGTAGAATTACTCAAGGTGCGCAAGTTGTCGTTGCCGAGCCAAAACTCACCAGCCAAGTCCCCAAAGCCCACGCGGTAGTCAGCCCAGCCGCGGTAGAAGTTGACACTGCCATCCTGACGCCTCTGAATGACAAGCCAGCCTCCACCGTCTGTCTCCATGTTGCAGTACACCCTTAGACCATCTGCGAATCCCGCAGGGAATATCGTATAGATACCGCTCATGCTGTAACCTGCCTTCAGTAAACTCTGGCAATCGCTGTAAGCCGCTACGGAGACCTCAGGTGTGCCTCCATGACCATCGAAGTACACGCTCCCGTAGTCTGCAACCAAATTGTTTGGCACATCGACTCCCGTAACATTGTTCATATCACACCTGCGATTGTTCTTGAAGTAATTGACTGATTTGCAAGCTTGCCAAGAGTGGCACCGGCTCACACAGCCGACAAGAGTACCAACTCTACCCGACCAAATTGTGGCATTTCTTAGTGCTCGATTTTCAGCAGCATTGAATTCCTGTGAGAGTGCATGACCACAAGAGGTACCTTGAGACGTGGGCAAGCTTAAAAAGAAAGTATAAAACCAAAGACAGGTGACAAGTACCTGTCTACGTGAGCGACTCAAAACCCGAACCTCCTCCATTTTGCCGTCAACGCAAAGTGATAGTTGGAATTCCAGCGAAACACGTAGCATATTTCCAAGTGAAGGTATCTCCATGGCATCAATCAATTGTTATTAGAACCTTGGTCGTGATATTGACAGCCACCAGTCTTCAACGCTCCTGGCTCGCTCGATTACTCCTCGTCTCCGAGCACGTTCCGAAACAAATAAACCTGATTCAAACCACCACACATATTGATCACGTTGAGACGTATACGAATACGTACAATGATGTATTGTCCCGATTCTGTTCATACCTCTAGCTGTAGCGATGGTTCTTATGATTTATCGACCAACTTTCATCTTTGATCAAGTAACCATAGCAACTGGTTAACAAATGATTACCTCAAAGGAAACGCTATTCTGCCGCACTCGTCCTCTCCAGTTACTCATGCACAGTTACATGCATTTTATGCTCCTACCAAAGACAGGTGACAAGTACCTGTCTACTTGAGCGACTCAAAACCCAAACCTCCTCCATTTTGACGTCAACGCAAAGTGATAGTTGGAATTTCAGCGAAACACGTAACATAATATTTCCAAGTGAAGGTATCTCCATGGCATAAATCAATGTTATTAGAACCTTGGTCGTAATATTGACAGCCACCGGTCTTCAACGCTCCTGGCTCGCTCGATTACTCCTCGTCTCCGGGCACGTTCCGAAACAATAAACTTGATTCAAACCACCAGACATAGTGTTGTGGCGTATACGAGTGAGTGCATTGATGTATTGTCCCGTTTGTGTTCGTACCTCTATGGAGATGGTTCTCATAATGTATCGATCAACTTGGATCTTTGAGCAAGTAACCATAGCAACGGGTTAACAAATGATTACCTCAAAAGAAAAGACTACTCTGCTGCACTCGTCCTCTCCCGTTACTCATGCACAGTTTACATACATTGTATGTTCCTACATTTACCTTTTATTTATTACATGTCTTTAACCAGAATACGATGTTTGCTACATTTTAATTTAAAAAGAGGCACTGCTCTTCATAAAGATGGCTGGAATATCTCATAAAAACATTCCGCCAATGAACTACAAACAACGCGTTTTGCTGTCATCTTCTGACGATTCTAAAGTCAGGTAGGCAAAGTTAGAAATCTAGCGCTCATTTAAAAAATAATGGCATTTGATGCAAGCACTATACTAATACAGAATTTACCAGCAATATTGTTACATTCAGTGCACTGAGTGAGTTTTTGCTATTTTACATTGCGAGAGTACTCTCATTTCGTCCCTGTTTTCACGAAGATCCACATTATGTGGATTTTTAAGAAAAAGCGTTTTCGAGATAATCGCAAAAGAAGTTTCTCCTACTTTAAAACTGCCAAAAATACTACTTTGCAACAACTTTGTGCAGTATTGAAACCATCATATAATTCTATGAGAGCTGAATTGTTACGTGATCACAGTGATTATAATTAATACAGTAGTTATTTTGTGAACATTATGAGTAAAGATATATGGCTCTTCGTGAAAACGAAAATTCAAGATTTCTACATTTTCGGTGACATTTTGGCCCTTTCGGTTCAACGTGCTTTTCCATAGGTTAGGCGCGAGTGTGTACGCACGCAAAGCTGAGAATGTAACAAAGATATAACGAAAATTTCAGTTGACATGCTTTTACGCCTTTCCGTACAATAGGTTTTGAACGTGTTCAAGGGGCAAAAATGTATGTGGCTCTTTGTGAAAACGCACAATGCAATTATCGAGATTACTGTCCCTTGCATCATTAATGTAATTTGGAAATTAACGATGTTTTGCTTACAGAAAATGTCAAAATGGTTAAGTACAATGTTTTAAATCCAAACAGCGAACAAATCGATATAAAAAAAGGTATTTGTTGACATATGTGGCTCTTCGTGAAAACGTAGACGACGGTTTTCAAAGAAAACAAATGCACATGTATTCGAGTAAACATTAGCTCCAAGCGCCTGAAACAGACGCTAGTGATTGAAACTCATTCAATCGAATAGATGGAGTTTCCTCTAGAGTTCGACTAGATTGGTTTATTTTGTCAGAGTTTTTTTCAATCTAAAATTTGAGTGATGTTTATTCTAAATCGTCTGGTCCCTTCATTCTTCGGAAATAATCGAGTAGCACGTGCGTATTGACACAGTCACGTTTTTAAGTTAAGGACATCTAATTCAGATGTATTAATATCTAAATTAAACAAAATTGAAACTTGGAAATCAATGTGAAAATCAATGTGATTTAAGATGAAAAGAAATATCACCGTCAAAACTTGAATGATTTTACTTAGTAAGAGTGAATTGTACTTGAATAGTTATAAGAAAGTATAAATCGTACGCGAAATTTACTATTGAAATACCGATGTATTCATCGTCAGAGCCCTATAAAGTCTTTGAAACTGAATTTACTGCAGTCGAACAGGTAGAGAGCAACTATCATTGCCTCTTTCCTGTTTAACCATACCTCATAAATATTCATCAGGCAGCTGCGATATTTCATTGGTCCATTCAACCATGTTTTTGATTTTGCAGTATTTGAAAAAAACTGAAATATTGACAAACAGAATAGAAAATTGTTATTGTGTCATTATTTTAATTATTTCATCCAGTTCTTCCTCGTTAGAAATTACAAAGCGAACACCACCGGTCGCCATTTTGATAGGCAGCGCCCACTGTGCTATGGGATCATTTTGGACTAGACTGGCACAAACAATTGGATGTCCTCACCGGTGATCTCCAGGGTACGCACATAAAGCCCTAGTCTGAGTATCACCCGTTATCCACGGAGCCAAATCCTGTATAACGTCTGACATCTCCTGACGTGCAAGTTTATTCAAGCCACGCACACGCCAATCGAAGTTGACTTGACTAAATCGTGACGTAATTTCATTCCCAAATCAGGACTAAATGGTTTGATTGGTCAATTCGAATGCAGTGCTTTGTAATACCATGGAGTGTTTAATAGCTCCATTGTAATACAACAACAACCGGCCCCATATCACGTAACATTATACAAAGCGCGTGACCACGGAATTCGCCGTGTTCTATTACACAGACTATAGCCCAGGCGTCGTTGGTAAAAGAAAACACAGTACTACACTGGAACAAAATCTAAGGTTGCGACCCAGGTGTGTGATAGTACCGGTACCTCCATAGTTTGTTTGCGCGTCACGCGCGCATGCGGAGAGGCGGGGAAATAGTAAAAACTTTCACACAGTTGAGTTGCTGGAATGGACAAATGAAATGCCAAGGCTGCACGATGAATATTCATGAGGTATATATAGTAATAATATTTAAGCAGCCTGTAAATAGTCCATACTACGTCGAATTTTCATGCCACATTTTTTCAGCGAGTAGGAATATCCTTTCCAAGAACTCCAAATGATGCCTTGAAAATTTATATGTGAAGGCGCATAAAAATAAATACCGTTCAGGTTTGAATCAGAACACCAAATGTACCACCAAGCTCCTTTCTCATCTTCTGCGCAGTTAAGATTATTATGAGAGTCATTGTCCTTGTCCTTTGTTGAAAACGGCTGGTGATTGTGGTTAGCCAATGAGTTTCTGGCCGTGCTGTTAGCATTGTACGAATCAAAACTCAGACGGTAATCTTGTCCAGAGATGATCCGGAAATTTCCGTACTCGGCCCAGGTTGTGTTACCATCCCAGTCCTCCAAATCGATTCGAAGATCCCAAGATCCAGAAGAATCACTCAAGGTGCGCAAGTTGTCGTTGCCGAGCCAAAACTCACCAGCCAAGTCCCCAAAGCCCACGCGGTAGTCAACCCATCCGCGGTAAAAGTCAACACTGCCATCCTGACGCCTCTGAATGACAAGCCAGCCTCCACCGTCGGTCTCCATGTCGCAGTACACCCTCAAACCATCTGCAAATCCCGCGGGGAATATCGTATAGATACCGCTCACGCTGTAACCTGCCTTTAGTTAACTCTGGCAATCGCTATTAGCTGCAACAGACAACTTAGATGTGTCTCCATTACCATCAAAGTACACCCTCGCGTAGTCTGCAACGAAGTTATTGGGAACATCGGTTCGTGTGGCATTATTCAGATCACATACTCCGCTGGGTTGATAGAAGTTGGCCGATTTGCACGCAGGCAACGAGTGACACTTGCTGACACAAGTGACACGACTACCAACCGAACCTGACCATATTGTGGCATTTCTCAGTGCTCGATTTTCAGCAGCAACGAACGTTTGTGACAATGGCTGCCGAGTGCAAGTGGTTTCTCCAGATACCTTCAGTATAGGCCTAAAACTGGTAAAAACGAAGAACACGATCGCCATACTCAAGGCAAGTCCTGCTTTAGAGGAGCCCTTCTGATAACGTGCTCCATCCATGGCGGCAGAGTTAGTTCTGGAAAGACCAGTCTCGAAACCAAGCCCGTTCTAATAGTTACTACACAGCGTAGCTTAGTGATCGATAATTAAGGGAAAAAACATTCTGCAGCAAATGGCAGCTGTAAGACTATTACTTATGACAATGCTTAAGCCAAATCTCTTTCTCGTGAAAGAAAAAAAAAACGCGTCTGCGTTGGAAAAACAGAACATTGTGTTCAGTGTCTTTGACAGATTAAAAGAAGCACACGATATATATTTGTTATCGGATCGCTATAAGTCGCTCTCAATCTGTGACAGAATTTCACCGACAGAAATAGCCCATTGTTAAATGACCCAATTATTGTTAATTGTCCAGCTATCGTTCTTTAGAATTCTTTACCGCAGCTTATGGATTAATAAATAATCACTTTCGTTGTCATGTAGATTTTGAAGATAGGAATTAGGAAACGTTCATGCATAGAAGCTGAACCAGGATAATTTGGAACAATGAATTTGGGTCAACCAGTACACAACAATTTGGTCTATCAGGGTGTTTTTGTAGCATATAACGATAATTGGCAGTAAGTCCACAGATTTTGTCGTCGAATATTCAGCGCACGATTCAAAAACGGTCAAAGGTTAACTCTTTAAGAGTTAACTTTGCTGGGAATTTAACATGCTGGGAATGGCAAATTATCTCAAATATATGTTATCAAATAAAATAACAAGCAGAGTGACCGTTTTAGCCAATTTTCGGCTAACTTTGAAAAAAAAAACGAGTTTGACAGACAATTTGACAAAATGGATTTTTTGGGCAGATTCCTGGCAGAATAACTTGACAGAAAAACAGCAAATTTTCCTAAAAAAATTGTACATTTGGTTGCAAAAGCTTCAATCTTTTTTTTCAAACAAACCCCTGCAAAATAGGGCAGGTTGCCTGGTCTGGGTGTTGAGGTTCACTGACGCAACTGCGTTGTGCCTGAAATTTACGCAATTTCATATTATCTTTATGTGGCTATAAATTGTTTATAAATTTGAACTTTTAATTCATTAAGGCAATATTACAACATCTGCATGTGATTCAAAGTATTTTAAGTGTATTTCGAGTAATTCGGTGGAATTTGGCAGATTTTTGACAAATCTGACAGATTTTTGAAGTGCATTTAGCACAATTTAGTCATGACCTTACGGTCACCCTGATAACAAGTCAGATCACAAATAAAAGCGGTGAACGTTGACACAAGAGCGGCTTCGTCACGGTTTCTTCGAAAAGCTTTCACTCGACCTGAACTTGGATGGCTGGGTGATAAACTTGCGACTGATTCCAAATGTGATTAAACTCTTAAGTTCACGTAAGAACATGTACAATGTATACCGAACAATAGAGATCATTTAAAATGGTGCAGGTACGGGATACGTTTGAGGCTCAGAAAAACTTGCTGATTATATGTTATTTTCCATGTGATTAATCCAACAGACCCAAATATCATTCGAATTGTCATTGTCGCTGTACACGAAGTTAATTCTTGAAGTTAACACTCCGCAATTTATGTACCAAAAAAAAAAAAAGCGCAGACGGTATTTCTTCCAAGAGACTTGAAAAACTCCATACTTGGTCTAGGCTGTAACTTCAAGTTTGCCTTACTGCTTAATGCTTACTGGTCCCGTAACCCACCGGGGTCTTAGGGGCGCTGCATGGATGAGCGTTGGTTTAACTGGTTCCACATCTGACGGTCGTGAGCAAGGGCCTGTGTTGTGGCACAACTTTCACTGGTCCATTCGGCGATGTTGTCTATCCACTTTTTACTCTGTCTGCCCCGTCTCCTCCTTCCCTGCACTGTACCTTGGAGGATGGTCTTTGACAATCCGCTTGCTCTCGTTACATGTCCGTACCACCTCAGTTTCCTTTTCTTCACCGTGGTCAGTAGATCTTCATACCGGCTGACATGTTGTCTCATCATACAAATCCAAGCACTGGATTGCTGTGAAAGTGTACGACCACAATACAATCCTTGACACACGGACAGATTGGACAATTCTTACCACACTTACAACTTAACCTAGTAGTTGTCTCACAGAGAGACTGAAATCCCGTACCTTAATTTTGCTGTCTCACGTTAACTGCGTGGGCGCGCGAGGTCTGGATGTCATAGCATTGACGTATTTGCAAAAAGTGGTTTCTACTGCAACAAAAAAAATCATGTTAGTAATTCGAGCTTCAGTTTTTATTTAGCGCACAGTTACAAAAGCAAACCCAGTGGGTCATTTACAACAGTTGCCGGTAACCCACAGATCCTGCGTTCACCTTACTAAGAACATAATTTTCCTGCATTCTAACTAAGGCAATTTGAAAATAAATGTTTTCCCCATTCTACACAACATTTGTCTCAGGCTGGACGGGGGGGGGGGGGGGGGGGGGGGCAACTCCGCCACTGCGTAGAGTGATCCCCTCCCCAACCTCGTCCCGAGTGCTCACTTTATTTCCAACCTCGATTCCAATAGTAAGCCTTAGATAGGAAACTTTCTTCCTGTATTCTGATTCTATGCCGCAATTGGCCAGAAATGGATTTATATCGTGTACTTTGTTTGTTATTCACAAAGTGCCGTACGTGTTTTCGCGATCATTTGTCCACGCCTTCTCAAAAACATTCATTTCCTTCCTCATTTGTTAATATTAATATGACTGTCACATATGATACTGCAAGTTGCTTTGTTGAGATCGTAACAGTTAAATTAAAATAAAAGCGTGTTTTCGTAACTCACGCCATGCTCGCGCTGCGACGAATTGCTTCTTTTTTTTTACCCCAGACACTGCATAAAAAAAGCAAACGCAAATGTAACGCACCAACATCTTGCACATGCAAACGTCAATACCAGGTTGAGCGAGCAGGTAGTGGTGGGCGCGTACTGCTCGACACCCTCCCCCGCAATTTAGAGTCTGGCGTTACCAATGTATGATGATAGCGAATTGTTCATGTCACAGTTCAAGGTCGTATGCCGTCATTGATGAACATGAATCATGCAAAACGCGTCTGATACCCGACAGTTCAGTGCGTGAATGAAGTCATTCGGGGTTGTTCAGACACAGTCATAGTTCCTAAAGATTATCATCACTTTCATAGTCTGTTTCGACCTGTGAAAATCAGCATCTCTCATGAATTTCTCAGCAAGTAACGACTACTGCGGGGATGGCAGATTCGTCCAACATTCCGTCATCATGCAACACATTGACAAACTGGAGTTGAGACCAGAAGACACGGTACTGGACGTGGGGTGCGGTACTGGGGAAGAAACCAAGTCAATGGCAGGGAAAGTCAAGAGTGTAACAGGTTCCAATCCTCGGCTTCTGCATCGCCAGCTGCTCCATGGATGAGGTGTTGACGCACCTATTTTTCGTAGGTGGAATTTTGTGTTTGTTTGTTTTCTCGAGAAACTATGCGAGCAGCTATATAGCCCATAAAGCCTCCTATGATATGCACGAAATGCCGACTTTTTAGACACCCCCTTCCCGTACGTATGGCATACGCAGTGTCCCCCCTCCCCCATTCCATATGTTGGGGCAAAAAGATAGATGTCCGGTACATACACTGTATGTTTTCGGTGTGGCCATCTGTTCTCATTATTAAAAACCAAAGAAATGATGTTACAATGATAACTCAAGCTTACTCAAATAACCATATTTTCTTTTGATTATTTAAAAATTCTTATTTCCATGTAGGCCTTGTGAATGCTCAAAGGATTATGCTAAAAAGATTTGCCTTTGAGAAATGTCTTGCTTAAGACTGATAGCATCCAGTCAGTTTGCTTAAATCACATATCTATAAAATAAACTATAGTCTATAATTTTTATTTAGTACGACTTAAGACTGAAAATATCCAGTCAGTTTGCTCAAATCACATACAATGACTTCCCAGCAGAGAAGCAATAACCACAAATTAATTATGGGATCATTGACGTCAATACATTAATATGTATCGTTGATCGTTCCACGATCTGACCTATCTCAGTTTTTGCCATTTCGAGAAAAACGCAATTGAAGTTGGGCCTATTTTGCATCCACTCTTTCACCCAGAACACTATTTTTTGTTGACTCAGTTTTTATATAACATAAAGTTGGATAGTTGAATTATGATTTTAAATTGCTTCTAAGGCAAAAACTCATCACTACCAGGTGGAAAATAGGCGCCAAATCCATGTCACTTCGTGAACATTTCGTTTTCATATTTCATGCGCACGAACGGCGACCTATCAAGATAGGTCACTTCGTGAAAATTTAATTTTCATTCGATCTTGCGTGCGAACGGCGACCTATCCCAGTCAGTCCGCAGCGCACTGAAAAGCTGCTCATTTTACGTGCGCTCGAGAAACTATGCGAGCAGCTATATAGCCCATAAAGCCTCCTATGATATGCACGAAATGCCGACTTTTTAGACACCCCCTTCCCGTACGTATGGCATACGCAGTGTCCCCCCCCCCCCTTCCCCATTCCATATGTTGGGGCAAAAAGATAGATGTCCGGTACATACACTGTATGTTTTCGGTGTGGCTGTTTTTGCACAGTATAATGTACGTGTATACGTGTACATGTATAGTTCCTGTACATGTACATTTTGTTGTACACCACACAGCATTACAAATGCTTAGTACACTTGCTGACTATAATATTGTTGAAAGAGTCTTTTATTTGTAAACGTCGCGGTTTCCACATTTTTTTCTTCAGCAGTGATCGTCAATGGATCACAATTATTCAGTAGTTTAAGGGAAAATTATGTTTATTCATGAGAAAAGAACAACGTTTTTTTTTTATGTTTTTTTTTTTATTTTTTTTTAATAAACCAGTATATGTAGCTTGCTAGTATAACTTATAAGTTTGGACCCCATAAGACAAAGGCCAATTAGGTCATTAGGATTAAAACAATATGATTTTATTGATTGATTGATTTTTTATTTTTTTTACCAAACCAGTATACATGTGCAAATGTAACCACTCACTAAAATATTCGGGGGCCTGTACACTGTTTATACATGATTTTTTGTATAATCAATGTGGCTTCTCCACCTTTTTTTCTTTGACAGTCATATTTTTAATTGAAACAACAGAAAACAAATACATGTACGTGTACATGTATTACTAAAACTTGAGACTTGCACCGTAGTACATGTACATGTACATGTTTATGCAGCTCTGTGAGTTGTTCTTAAGATTTGGAGTCACTTTCGGACCCCATAGGCCATCTGTTCTCATTATTAAAAACCAAAGAAATGATGTTACAATGATAACTCAAGCTTACTCAAATAACCATATTTTCTTTTGATTATTTAAAAATTCTTATTTCCATGTAGGCCTTGTGAATGCTCAAAGGATTATGCTAAAAAGATTTGCCTTTGAGCAATGTCTTGCTTAAGACTGATAATATCCAGTCAGTTTGCTTAAATCACATATCTATAAAATAAACTATAGTCTATAATTTTTATTTAGTACGACTTAAGACTGAAAATATCCAATCAGTTTGCTCAAATCACATACAATGACTTCCCAGCAGAGAAGCAATAACCACAAATTAATTATGGGATCATTGACGTCAATACATTAATATGTATCGTTGATCGTTCCACGATCTGACCTATCTCAGTTTTTGCCATTTCGAGAAAAACGCAATTGAAGTTGGGCCTATTTTGCATCCACTCTTTCACCCAGAACACTAATTTTTGTTGACTCAGTTTTTATATAAAATAAAGTTGGATAGTTGAATTATGATTTTAAATTGTTTCTAAGGCAAAAACTCATCACTACCAGGTGAAAAATAGGCGCCAAATCCATGTCACTTCGTGAACATTTCGTTTTCATATTTCATGCGCACGAACGGCGACCTATCAAGATAGGTCACTTCGTGAAAATTTAATTTTCATTCGATCATGCGTGCGAACGGCGACCTATCCCAGTCAGTCCGCAGCGCACTGAAAAGCTGCTCATTTTACGTGCGCTGTATGCATGGCATTCCGGTGCGTGACCTCGTTTTGAATACTTAATGAGCTGTCGACGACGCATGGAATTTGGTCCGAAATATCTATTTTATTTGTCAACTATCAATATTATGTAAATTTTCTTTTAGATAGAGAACCATTCTGTTATATTATCAAATCAGATTGGAAATTACGTGAAATTTAGAGGGAGAAATTTAATTGTAGTTTTTAAATACGGCGTGTCCTGTGTCACTATTCTATCCTCCAGCTTAACTACGCTCAAAAACGATCATTCCACAGGAGCTCGCACGTTCAACAGCAGTTTGAAATTACGCAACCAAAAACTGCTAATATACCATCATATCAAGCAGAGTGCCTTAACCCTAAAGGGGCCGGGTTATTTTGACCATCTCTCAGCCGGGGGGGGGGCGGATTCGGCCCCCCCCCCTAAGATCTCGGCCATCGAGTGACGAAAAATTTTGAAACTCTATACATGCATAGAGCAACTCTTCCTTGACATACCCAAGAAATTTCATGACTATAGGTCAAAGGGTTTTGGAGTTATGGCTAATTAATTATTCATATGTACGAATGGCAATTCTGCTCTGTGTACACGACGTATATGCGAAAATCCAGTTTTCACGGCGCGTAGCGCCGGACATTTTTTCGCTACGCGGCAACCCGTGATCCGATTTTTACGTTTTTGGTATCAAAAGATGCGCAAAGCTCGAGGCTAAAAAGTCATAACAGCTCGGGTCGCGAAAAAAAATTTTTTAGAGGCTATCACGGAAAATGTTGAGGGGGGGGGCGGATTCCGCCCCCCCCCGGCCCTTTTAGGGTTAACTCTGTTCCCCTTCCCTTTAGGCGTTGACGCTTCAGAGGAAATGGTAGCGGTGGCCGTTAAGACCAACTCGGCACCAAACGTAGCATACAGTCAATGCGACGCCCGAGCCGTGGGAGACAACCCGGACTGGCGAGAGGGATTCGACAAAGCTGTCTGTTTCTTCGTTCTTCACTGGTTTCCCGAGCAGACCCAAGCGCTCCGTAGCATCTCGGCGTGTCTGAAGCTGGGCGGGCAGACACTTTTTATCTTCGAGAACCACGATGACCTCTTCATTTTAACCCAAGCGACTTCCTTCTTGAAAAGTCACGAGAAGTGGGGTGCTTTTGTCCAGGTACATGTATAATTAAACAGTTATCCTTCCGAATTGATTTGGATCAAGCTTTTTGGGGATTAGTTTTGTTGTTTGGTTTGTACGGTGGCCCACAACTGTCACGGCAAAAGCAAAAGCGCCACGGCAAGCGCAAAAGCCCCACGGCAAGCGCAAAAGCGCCACGGCAAGCGCAAAAGCGCCACGGCGAAAGCAAAAGCGCCCTGGCGAAAGCACCACGGGTTTCATTGGGAAGGGGCGTAATCATACATGCCGCTACTACATCAACAAATAAAATGGGAAGGAAAATGGCCGCCACCAGGAATTCTTAGTAATCACAGAATTTAATTCTTTGAGAAGTGATTTTATGGCTGAGAAAATAGCAAGGCCAAGGAAAACCGGTCAGTGCAATCAACTTTCAGGAAATAAATCGACGATATTAATTTGTTGTAGGATACTTCCAAGATTATTCCAAGAGAGTTGCTGCCGTGAATCAGAGTTTATAAAGGAGTGGGACTCACTATCAGCACCATCAGGGCCGTTCCTCATTTCTTTACATTTCGTGGGATGCAAAACAATTACGAGGACGGGAGGCTCTGTGAGCTGATGCATTTTTTTGAAGATTTTTTTTTTCCTTCCGACTAGCATGCAGAGAAGAGTTCCATTAATTTGAGACTTAGTTCACCCATGGGCGTCGCGAGGGGGGGGGGGGGGGGCAAGGGGGGCGCTTCCCCTCCCCTGGAAAAGCACTCCCCAAAAAAGGAAGAAAAAAAAAAGATAAAAAAAGACAAGAAAAATAGGCGCGAAGTCATAGTTTTGTAAATGTAATGAGTTGGGGGGGGGGGGTTGGCAAAATGTCCCTGCCCCCGTCTAAAACTGAGAAATCGAGAATGTGTTCAGAAATACAAGAATATTTTGGGGAAAATATGTTTTGCCTCCCTCTAGAAAAAATCCTGGCGACGCCCATGAGTTCACCGGTGGGTATACCAGTGTAGGCACACAATTGAGCTGCCCAGAGTTTGGATATAGAATAAGAAAGAAAGAAATTAACTTAGAACCTAGAACTCATTTGCCCACCCACCCCCGGCTCAAGAAACCAAGAAGCCGAACAAGACCTCATGATGCTTAGCGATAGCGATGATGAGTTGCCTTGTGGACAGTCTTCCACATCATCGCAGAATCAGCCGGCAGGGCAGAAAGAGGGCTTGTTTCCGGCATCAAATAGTTCTGTATTCACTCGAAACAAAGCAAACGGCTCTTTTCAGAGCCACCAAATTTTCATAGAAGAGCTTAGAACTGTGCATCTGAATGATAACATTTCTCCTTTGTTTAGTGTCTCTCTCCTACCCCCCCCCCTTTTCTAAAGTTAATTTCTTTCTTTCTTATTCTATATCCAAAGTCTTTGCCTGTGTTACGTTCCTTACATGAAATCCACAGCCTAACCTCCTCTGTCGAAAGCGTTGCGACTGTCTAATAGAACGATCCATTTCTCGATTTATGAGTTCTCTTCAACTAAGTCGTGTTTATTGGGAAGGGGCGTAATCATACATGCCGCCCCTACATCTAAAATTAAATGGAAAGGAGTATGGCCGCCACCATGAATTCTTTTAATCACAGACTTTAATTCTTTAAGAAGTGTTTTAATGACTGAGAAAATAGCCAGGAAAACCGGTCAGTGCAAGGAACGTTCAGGGAAGTGTTTTGAAATTCCCGCTCTCTGGGAATTTCTAACCTAATGGGCCCGCGGGCGAGTTACGTGTTGACAAGCCTTACCCACCCATTACCGCAGCCCTGCATGAGAGCCTTAATTGACTTCCTAGATGTGTATGATATACTGAAAAAGAAAAAAAACTTAACTCATGCACTCTGGGCAGCTCACTTGTGTGCCTACACTGGTATACACACCGGTGAACTAAGGCTCAAATTAACGGAACTCTTCTCTGCATGCTAGTCGGAAGGGGAAAAAAAAACTCTTCAAAAAAATGCAACAGCTCACAGAGCCTCCCGTCCTCGTAATTGTTTGCATCCCAGGAAATGTAAAGAAATGAGGAACGGCCCCGATGGTGCTGATAGCGAGTCCCACTTTCCCTCTCCTTTATAAACTCTGATTCACGGCAGCAACTCTCTTGGAATATTCTTGGAACTATCCTACAACAAATTAATATCGACTATTTATTCCCTGAACGTTGCTTCACTGACCGATTTTTCTTGCTATTTTCTCAGCCATAAAATCACTTCTTAAAGAATTAAAGTCTGTGATTAATAAGAATAGTCAGGTGGCATATGGTTGGAATCGTGACCGACTGGTCCAAAGCACCAAACTTGGCAGATAGATTCTTATAGACCTAGAGAAGATATTTAGAAGGGGTGACACCTGAAATTCTTTTGGGAAGGGTGCCTAATTTGCATAAATCGTTAATCCCTGCAGTGTAATATATGTTTTCCCATATTTGGGTATATTTTTATTGTTTTATTTTTTTGAAAAGTGTATTTTGGTGATTCTACTTGCATATTCTTACTTCAATAACATTTTGTAAAGCATGTAAGTGACTGAATAATTATGAGGACATAGTAACGATCCAAAATGGCTACTATTTTACCCTAAAGTTACGCGCATTTACCTTTTCCTCAGATATCATCAACTAGTCTCGCCAAACGTGGGTAGTGGTGAGCTTCAAATTCACAAAGGTACTTACTGACATAGTTAACCTAACAAAAATAAGTGGGAAATCATGTGAAAATTGATATCATCTTGATGTTTGGCCCAAAAGACCAACTTAAAGGGGAGAAAATGTGGTGTCCGTAAATTGGGCTACTACGGGAAGGGTAACGTGGGGACTTGAACAAGTTCAACAAAATCCCCCCAAATAAGAGATTATTGTTGTTTACAATAATGTTGTCTACGCCAAAACGTTTTCTCAACAATAATTTTGGGAATTTCCTTGAACTTGTTCCAGAGTTCCATGTTAGGCAACCCTTCACCTTACGTGTTAGCCCAATTTATGGACACCTCGTTTTTTCCCCACTTTTTGTTTTCTGGGCTAAATATCACAATGTTCTCATTGTTCACATGATTTTGCATAAGGTTTCAATAGGGTAACTGTACCAGTAAGCTACTTGGTGAATTTGAAGTTCATCAATGCTGATGTTTGGCAAGACTAATTGATGATATCTGGGGACAAGGTAACTGCGCGCAATTTAGGGCATAATAGTAGCCATTTTGGATCGTTACTATTTCCTCATAATTATTCAGTCACTTATATGCTTTGGAAAATGTTATTTAAGTAAAGATATGTAAGTAGAATCCCCAAAATACACTTTTCAAAAAAATAAAAAAATTAAAATATACCCAAATATGGGAATAAATATATTACACGGCAGGGATTAACGATTTATGCAAATTAGGCACCCTTCCCAAAAGAATTTCGGGTGTCACCCCTTCTAAATATCTTCTCTAGGTCTATAAGAATCTATCTGCCAAGTTTGGTGCTTTGGACCAGTCGGTCACGATCTTGACGAAAATTAGATCTAAGCCACCTGACTAGAATTCATGGTGGCGACCATGCCATTCTCCTTCCCATTTTATTTTTTGATGTAGTAGCGGCATGTATGATTACGCCCCTTCCCAATAAACCCGTGGCGCTTTTGCTTTCGCCGTGTCGCTTGTGCGCTTGCCGTGGCGCTTTTGCTTTTGCCGTTACCGCGGCGCTTTTGCGCTTGCCGTGGCGGTTTTGCTTTTGCCGCGGCGCTTTTGCGCTTGCCGCGGCGCTTTTGCTTTTGCCGTGACAGTTGTGAGCCACCGTGGATTTGCGTATAGATCGAGATGCATTCATAATCTGGGTTGAATCTTAGACCGATAAAAATTGTTAAAAATACAGCGTTGCTGATTTCGTCTTAACGTAGGGGACAAACAGCATAGAAACAAGTACCAAGTGGTAGAACGCCACGGCGGTCGGGTCATGAAGACGACTTACGGCACCGTCCGCGCTTGTCCCTCTTTGCCCCCCCCCGTATCCGCCCTTGCAACCAACCAACCCACCAGCCACCCACCAACCAACATAAGCAGCTCAAGCCCACGGCGTGTTTCACACCGCCGTGAGAAAAATTGAAAAGCGGATGTTAGTGTTCGCTCTAATACCCCTGCCCTTGCAAACATCAGACGCTGGGATACTCTAATGAATTCACGCTCTGATTGGTTGGTTTTGCGTGACCTGTGTGCTGCGCGTCATCACGGTCATGACTCTACAAGGTTTCAAACGGTTGTTAAGACCGAGTCACTACTCTTTTATTCAAATTTAGAGATGTGTTGTTTTTTTTGTAAAGCGTAATAACGTAAGAAATTCTGTAAAACGTATCTGTGTAGTAAATTTACAATTCCCGTCAGGCTCCGTTTCGAATCACAAACGGTCGGGTTGCATTATACGATGCTCATAATTTTGTCCACATGGTCCGCTGTGAAACAGTAAATCACATCCGGTATGGAATGCGCGCATTTCTATGAGAAAATTTCCGATAGCATTTGCGCACATTGTCTAACTGCGGACTTGAACATCTGCAGACAAATGCTTTATACATAGGTCATGTGTCACTTCATTCGCAAGATTCTGTGAAGCTCATCAATCAGCAAAACCCAGTGTCCTGTTTGCAGGGCGAGGGGGGGGGGGGCGGTACTTACGAAATGTAAGTGGTGGCCCAACGTGACTAATGGGGGCGCAATTACCCAACATGTAAGTTTACAGTCAATTAACAAGCTGACAGGTATATAGTCCGGTTAATTTAAAATAAAACAGGAGCTGACCTAGAAGAAATTGCAGTAACATGTATTTTAATGCTATATCACGCTAAGGAATTTCATCATGGAGTGGAGAAGTGTTTTTGTTCATTTTTTCTCTAATACTTTTTCATCATACCTAAACAGTCGTATGGAGAGCGTCATGTTTTCGTTTGCGTCCGTTACTGGTCAGAATATCCGTTTACATCACGTATGAGACTTCGCGAGACACGTCTGATCACAGCATACGACTTTTATATGTCAATCAATTATTAAAATATATGGTATTGCTTCCGCACAATACTATAGGATATTTTCTTGAAAAAAAAAAAATAAGGAAATTTGAGATTTTTTTACTGCCTGAATTATGTATTGGTTAAAATATATCACTTTGCGCTCAATAAACCATTTGTTTCATGGAATAACTTTACATAAACAATTCTACTGGATAAAAGGGCGGGAAACCATTTGAAGTTAAATTTCAGGTGTCTACCGCATTAGGCCGGAGTCTAATTTTAAATTATTAGGGAAAATATCCGAAATCCGAGATTCGTGTAATCCTTTTGTGATGCGTTTAGGTCATCGGCATAACTTATAAATAAGATATAAATTGTCCAAAAAAATGAAGGTCTACTCGAAAAACTTTATGAAGACAAATTAACGGGATTAAAATCTGGAATGAAATTTTAGCTGAATTCTGAGCTTTAGAGAAAATAAATTAGGCAGCGTGACAAGTGTATTATTTCTATATGTAATAAACGTGACCCAGATCAAAGTCTTAGGCAGAGGATAGGCCTGGGTGGACCATGCCAATCGTCTTTTGAATAGTAATAACAAACCGAGGTCTGTTTCATTCCGAAAGAATCATTTCGTCGGGACCCAAGCAGTGTTGTAGGTCTTGAGACCGGCCTTGGTCTCGACCCGGTCTCGAGACCACTTTTTGCTGGTCTCGATCTCGGTCTCGGGAGCTGTGGTCTCGGTCTCGGTCTCGGGAGCTGTGGTCTCGGTCTTGGTCTCAGTCTCGGTCCCTCATTTTGAAGTATTCCTCCAAAGTTAAAATCCCGGTCAGAAAAAAAATAAAAATCCATATCTGGCTACCACCTTTTGGGTCTACAATGTACAAGTCCATATTCCATTACGGAAATTTTGAAAAAATTATTCAACATTTTCTAGCTTATTTTTTTTAAATCAAGTACACAAGTCATGGTAGAGCTAGAAGTTAAGTGCTATATTTATTTTAGAAAAAATGTAGCCCAATGTCAAATTATTAAACTTGCATCTTTAAATATCCGTTAGAAGTCCTAGCTGAAACCAAGGAGTGACTGTGGAGTTCAGGATCCGAGTTCCTATAACAGATGAAACATCTGCCTTTAACTTTTTACTTTTGTCAAGATTGGGTGCAGACAACATAGCACAGCCCATATTTCTTAAGTGTAACTACTTTTTGCTCAAGTAAGGTGTCATGTATCAATTTGTCAACACTGCCACTGGTCAAAATTTTGTCTGTTATCATCGTGAATAGAAAGGTTACAACTTACAACTATAATTATGTGTCTTGTTTTTTATTTAGATTATTGTTATTTATTATCAGCGGTCTCGGTCTCGGTCTCGGTCTCGGACCATTTCGGTCTCGGTCTCGGTCCGCCTTGAAGGGGCTGGTCTCGGTCTTGGTCTCGGTCTCGAAACTTCAGGTCTCGGTCTTGGTTTCGGTCTCGGACTATCCGGTCTCGACTACAACACTGGACTCAAGTATGCTTTTCTGGAGTAGTGCATTTCACTCTTGACCAGCGGCGGCGGAACACTTTTCAAACTGCAAAAACCTTTAACACTGATAGTATCTATACCAGACCATGGGTATAAAACGTTTACACCCCTGGTCCTATATAGATACCACCATTGTTGAATTTACACCACAGTTTTTGCAGTGTAGTGCCCTGTATAAAATGAAGACTTGAATCACTCGTCTGCTGCACTTGCATGAGGTCATGCATCCTAAGCATTAGCATATATAGACATGTAAATCGAAGTAAGTCACCAGACGAATTGTTTGAGGACAAAATGTCCCAAATTGTAATCTTAAAAAAATGATTAAAAAAACACTCTTCCATTCCATAGAATGAGATTTTTCACATGGTGTTAGTGTATTTTGTTAAAGTCGTTTGACGCTTGAATGGTTTCTATTGCAATTTGTTCAAGGTCTTAACTTACATTGACCGGACTAGTGTTAAAAATGCGTGGAAAGACCTTATTTAAAGCCTCAATCAATGATGTTAACTAAAGAGGTGTAAAACTCACATGCCGGCCTTTTTGACACAGACAGAACGGTAACAGAGGTGTATTGCCTTGGCTTTTGTCTTTCAGGACTACAAGTCATCACTGCACTTTTGGGACCTATCGGTCCAAGAAACGCAGAAAGTCTTCAAAGCGTGTGGCTGGGCCGAGGCTAAGTGTGAAGTGAGGAGACACGAACTGGTCCTGTCTGAAATTCAGTTAAAATGTAAGCTTTTGCAAACACAATGGATTGCTTTCGAACCACACGTATGATTAAAAGAGTGCAATCAACAATTTCGTTTAATACTAGTACCAGAGAAGTGAACGAAATCGAAGAGGCTATAGCAGTATCAACGATATCAACCGAGGACGTTTTAGCCCAGACTTTATCAATCAAAAGGGCCTTATTTTTGTCTCGCCTGAACTTTGTTCAGGAAAGAGACTATGCAATCACGTTGTCTGTCCGTGTGTATGTGCGTGTGTAAACACCGGCAATCGTGGACGTAGGACAAAAGAATTGGGCGCAAACAATACTTCCACGATTGACCGAACGTCCACGATCTCAAATCGTCGATTTACACCATAAACAAACGTGTGGGTGGGTGGGTACGTGTTCATCTTTTTAAACCGTGGACGAAAAATACCAGAGAACAAAAGAGAACAATATCGTCCACGATTCCCAGCATACGTCCGCGATTGGAGTCGTGTACAAAACCTATGGGAGTCTTCTTTTTTAAACACTGTATACTCAGTGAAAGTTGGGAAAAAAACGTCGGTGAAGGGCAAAACCAAATTTGATTTATATCACCCCGACGCCAAAATTCCATCTTATAATAGTTTATGCGGTATCCGCTGCTATGTACATCAGATTCGAACCGGCCAACCGATCCCGTTAGCTCGGTGGTCGAGTGGTAAGACATCTGCACTAGAAAGCAGGAGGTCGTGGGTTCGAGTCCCAACCGAGTGATTTTTTCCAACTTTCACTCGGGAGGTAACACACTGAGTATACAGTGTTTAAAAAACGTCGGTGAAGGGCAAAACCAAATTTGATTTATATCACCCCGACGCAAAAATTCCATCTTGTAATAGTTTATGCGGTACCCGCTACTATGTACATCAGATTCGAACCAGCCAACCGATCCTGTTAGCTCGGTGGTCGAGTGGTAAGACATCTGCACTAGAAAGCAGGAGGTCGTGGGTTCGAGTCCCACCCGAGTGATTTTTTCCAACTTTCACTCGGGAGGTAACACACTGAGTATACAGTGTTTAAAAAACGTCGGTGAAGTGCAAAACCAAATTTGATTTATATCACCCCGACGCAAAAATTCCATCTTATAATAGCATTGTTGTTAGTTACTCAACTAGTTACAATACATTAAAGCATATTAAAGAACGGTTGTCGTCGAGCTACCACACAATAGCCTAGTGGATAGCGAGATGAGCTATGGATACAAAGATCCCTGGTTCGAATCCACGTCGTCGCTGCTCATTTTCATCAGCTATTTTTCTTCTCCAAATTTATCACTGAGATAATTTTAAATTAAGGGGAAAATAGAACGAGAACCTAAGTCTTGCAATGATTCAAAGGAAAAACTGAATTATTCATGACATTGCCCCTAACCCTCCTAGGAAAATAAATTATATGGCTGGGATACTCTGATGAATTCGCGCTCTGATTGGTTGGATTTTGCGTGACCTGTGACCTGCGCGTCAACACGGTCATGACTCTGCAAGGTTTGAAACGGCTGTTAAGACTGATTCATTACTCTTTTATTCCAGTTGAGAGATCTATTTCCCGTTGAAAAAGCGTAATAATGTAGACAATTCTGTAAAACTTATCGGAGTTGTAAATTTACAATTCCCGTCACTTGCTCAGGCTCCGTTTCGAATCACGAACGGTCGGATTGCATTGTGCGACGCTCAAAATTTTGTCCACACGGTCCGCAATGAAACAGCCTTACATCCGGTATGGAATGTGCGCATTTCTATGGGAATGTTTTCGGATAGCATTTGCACCCATGGGCTAACTGCGGCCTTAAACAGCTGACCCAGATGCTTTAAACAAAGGTCATGGGCCACTTCCTTCGCAAGATTCTGTGAAGCTCATCAGCGTATCCCAGCGTTCTGTTTGTAACCATCAACCTCGATCCCATGGTGTCGATGCATTCACCATCTTATCTGAAATACCTTTGCCCTCAGTCAGTGTCACTACATTGTATAATTCAAATCTTTAAGGCCAAATAAAAAAACAAACATGTTTATCGTCCTCGCCCACTTCCTTTTTGGAGGCCGCCTCCTTTTTTTCTTCTTTTTTTTTAAACGAAAAATGATAAATTTTAAACAGTGCCATCATTTTGGTCTCTTTGTCTGTTGCATCTAGCTGGTATGTCATTTCCCGAATCCAAGGACGTTTAACATGTTTTTTTTAAATTTGGCTAACCCCGGTGAACCTCTAAATATCGTGTCTAATTAATGGATGTCATGACTGCAAGGAATACTTTTCGGACTCTTTATCGATGAATCGACGAAGAGTTAAGTGTCAGTATAGCTAGGCCTATAAATAATGCATCCGGTTTGCAACCTGCTGTCCGGCCGTACACTCGAAACCAGCCTAGCGGTGCTATTCTGCATTATGCAGCAACGCGGGTGGGGTGAGCGCAGCGGAATCCCCCCCCCCCCACACACACACACCCATAATGTGGACATTCTTTTGTTTTCGTGCAAGAAAACTCTTTCAACCATTTTTTTTCCTATGATTCCTTACAGCGTTTCTTTTCTATTTGCTATAGACAAACCTTACCCCCAAATGCCTTTAAACCGGTTTTCCAGAGAGGGGGAAACACTGTGTGGACGTGGGCAAGTCCACACAGCGTCGCTGCTCCCTTTATTGTGGACCTCTTTTGTTCGGAAGTCCACACAGTGAATGTAATATCCCAGCTAAGGCGAGCCATCAGATAACAGACCGTTCGGGTACCGGGTCCGGTATGCTAATTTCTTTCACCCCAATCGGTACGAAGCCAGAAGCCACCCGGTTACTGAAGCGTGACACCCCAATCGGTCCAAACTGGTGACTCAGGGTTTAGTCTGGCCATTGTTGGAGGATTATTCGGCCCGCTGGGATTACCAGCGGCAACTTCTATGAAGCTCATCACAGTCATTGTTGCCTACCGGAGGATTAGCGCGTCGCAAATTGGTTCCTTTGTGATGAGCCAGAGCCATGGTGCAGAAGCCTGGTGGAGTTAATCCAGGCCGATCGGTTCCATGCAAGGTCCCAATCCCTTCAACATACTGGGCGGGCTCAACCCCGAACGGTCCGGGGAGGGATTCTAATTTGAGGGCTCGCCTAACACATTCACGTTGTGACACGTTGCCAGAAGGTCAGGTTTTTGTTGCTGCAACGTGAGGAAAATGACGTTGCGGCAACGTAAAAATGTCGAATCGCTTGCGCGTTGCTACAACGTTATCACACAACGTTACAATGACGTTACCACAACGTAAAAGCAACATACATCACAACCTTTTTTTGGACGTGATTGTTACATGATTACAACCTTGGCGCCACGTTATTTGCGACCTTATTGACACATAACAGCAACCTTTACGAACGTTATTGCAACTTTGTTGACACGTCACTGCAACTTCATGGAAACGTCACTGCAACTTACTGGACATGTTAAAGCAACTTATTAGACACGTTAAAGCAACTTCATGGGCACGTTACTGCAACTTTATGGGCACGTTACTGCAATGTTTAATATGGGGACGCTACTGCCACTTTAGGAGGATGTTGCTGCAACTTTGTGGGCAAGTTATTGCAACTTAATGGGACGTTTCTGCAAATTTAAAGGCACGTTGCTGCAACTTTGTGGACACGTTACAGCAACTTAATGGACATGTTGCTGCAACATGGTGGTCACCTTGCTGCAACCTACTGGGCATGTATGGAGAAATGTTTCTGAAAACGATAATTAAAACAATTAAACATACATGTATTTAACTTTTCTCTAATTTTATTAGAAAGTGTGTTCAGCAGAAACAACAATATGTAAAAATTACTAAAATGCGATCACTAAAATGGTGAGTGTAATTAATGCTCACTGCGAATAATTGAACATTTCAATATGCACATATTTCTGAGCTCTAAAGATCGGTTCATACTTCAAGTGAAAGCAAATTTTGAAATGTTGACGTCGAAAACATTTGACTCGAAATTCCCCAGAGTTAAATGTGGTTGACTCTTTTATTTTTCACATGTGTAGCGCTGGCGTTAATCATTGCCGTAACTTCAAAAAATAAATCTTGAAAGGGATACTTGAATATAGTTTGTTCGTGAAGATATATCTGTATTCAGGGAACTTTTTATAAAGCCAAAAACCCTGCATTTCAAAATATTGACATAACAACATGATTTTCTAATTACCTCCATGCAGATTGGATATTTGCCCAATCTAAGTTTTAGAGTAACATTCATATAATGGAACCTTTATCAGAAGATTATCCAGAAGTAGAAGTAATTGGATTCCTTGATCAGCAAGGTTGTCCATATGGCACTTCCCCAATGACACGAATCTGACAAGAAAATAAGAAAAGCGGAAAAAAAGGTATCAATTAAACATTATGAACTATTTACTATTTGCTGCCTTACGCTTAAACACTCACTGCGTGTCACGCTGGCTCACTAGATGCGAAATGTAAAACTATCCAGATAGTGTCTGTCTTCTTAGTATACTTCAAGCAGAGCTGTGCCTGTGTTTCTACAATCTTTAACCCATGAGAGACGGGAATAAATAAACGAGCCTCCTGTTTCAAGTTGACCCTGAAGTCAAAGATTCAAGGATATTTCTCAAATTGAAAGGGTAACCAAAAATCCTGTTTGAGAGTTAAAGCGCCACTTGTTTAACGCATTTTTATGTTCAAATGCATGTACGCAACGAACAAAAAGTTGGTTCTTCCCCAAGTTTATGGTTTTGGAAGTCGGCATTGCATTAGGTCTATGGTGCTCGTTTCAGAAGTGTATTTAAGGTGTTTGTCGCTGATATCTTTGGACCAATCAATTTAGCGACTGCAATGGTTGGTTTCTTAATACCCGTACCTTGAATCTTGACCCTTCTGGATTACCAAGCACAATCGCCTACCATTTATAAAAGATGTCATGCGATGTCATGCTGGCACCTGAATATAATACCGAAAATATTTGATTACCACAGAGCTCAAGATATTTTTTTTTAAGTTAACTTGAATTTCTCACAAAACAATTTCATTAAATGTGAAGAAGAATCGTCCAGTAGCAGTTTTGATATTCGCATAATTATTTTGATAAAAGATCGGTTGTCCACGCTTCTTTTAAATTTCAGCCCGAAAGTTTATTTACTTTTTTCAATTGCTTTTTTCCTGCGAAATACATTCATTTTTGAATGAGACATCTAACGATAAAAACCAAAAACGTCATTCAATTATTGTAGTCGGCTCTCGCCCGGGAGGTTCTCGCAAACTTTTATTATTATTTTTTTATTTTTTTTTAGAGAGAGAGCACGGGGCACGCATCTTTTTGGCGCATGACTCGAAAAGAATGGCTTTGTTAAGGCGGACGTGGTAGTGTGATATAAAATGCGGAGTTGGATGGATTTGGCTATGCATGCATTGGGTTCACGGTCTTGAATTTTACAGTATAGATTCATTTCATGAATACATACATGGAATGAATATAAGTGTCTGGTGAACATGGGGTAATCACTTAACACATTCCGACCAAGGTGTATTTGTAACACATTTTAAAAGTTAATTTTACCATCTTACAGAAATACATGTACAAAAGGTCAATGTATGTTGAATTACGGCAACAACATTGAAGAGAGGTATGGGATGGTCTTCAAAAATAATTAGAAACTTCTTCCCTCGAAGACTGATGAGGTTAAAAGTTTCAACATGCCAGTGCACTGGCTGCAGGATGTACATCGTGTAGCCAGTGCACTCGGGTATAGATACCTGTGTAGGCCTACCTGGGAAAAATAACGATTTATTTTTTTTTTTTTAGGTTGAGAAATATGTAAAACTAATCGAGTTTGAACACAATATAAAACTGATGTCTCCGTGCGCTTCAACCCAAATATGTCTTATTTTCACGAAAAACTATAGGCTATACAAATGACCCTTTTTAGGAAAGGATTTCCTAAAGTTAGCGTATTTTTCATTCATCTTGTGACAGTGCTGACCTGACCCTTAACCCTACTCCATATACACTATGGGCAAGTTCCCATAAATCAAACCTTGGGAGATGGCCCAAAAGCCCGGATTGAAATTGTATATGCTTGTTATGTAAATGCCAAATGAAAGCCAGATTACCGTTTTACGTGTACGGTCATGGTACGTGAACTTTAGGCCTGACCCTTGAAACTGAAATGCTAATGCACGTTGCTATTAGTACACCGTGCACAGTGACTTTGAGCGGGAATTCTATAACGGGTGAAGCAGTATTAGTAGTGTTCATGCGTTTTACACACATACGAAACGGACGTTTTGGTCCCAGCCAATGAAAAAGCTCTGACTTGCTAGCTCCGCCCCTAAGCTCAATCAACCACGACCCGTCAACGTCTTTAGAAATTAACAATGGACAGGATCGTGACATTTTTTTCTTGTAACAGCGGATACTCGCTGCATGATTTTTGTTTTAATTTAATGCCTCGCGGCATATGCACATGCAAAACGAATGCCCCAAAAAGATAAATTCACGAGTTATGTCTTGTGGTTGTTTTATTAGTGATTTTTTTTTTGTTCGACTGCTGAAGCTGGTCTTGTCAGTTCAAGCTGGCGATGTGCGTTTGATTTGGGGCTTCATGAAAGCATGTGTATAAGACCGCGCTGGAGGGTTGTAGTTGTTGACTAATTAGCCAAAAGGAGAGGCCCGGCCAGGATCCTCCTGGTCAGGACACATTTATTTCCGATCATATAAAATAAATGTTTCAACGAAAATAAGTATAGAATTTCTCTAACGATGATAATTAGGAAAAATATCACGGGTTTTTTGGTTTACGTTTTTAAGATACATCTTTAAAGACCACCATAAACAAACAAAATGTAGCAAAACTTGTCAGAGGTTTTATTTAATGTGCCCACATCACACAGTAGTCCAGGCATGCTCGAGCTATATATGCGGTTTGCTATTGTTCATGCTGCCGCGGCGGTGACGGATGCTGCTGCTGTCGCGGTAATTGCTGCTGCTGCTGTTGTTGCTGCTGTTGCCGGTGCTGGTGCCGCCGCTGCTGCTGGCGTGGCGGCGGCTGATGCCATTGATGTTGCTGCCATTGCGCGTGCATATACGGCCAATGCATTTTGTGATCGGGGGGGGGGGGTCCACTCCCAGCTCTGTCAAAATAGAAATTAATTTAAAAAATGCTAACCCCCCCCCCCTGCTCTGACACCCAAATTGTGTTTACTGGTAATAATGTCCGCCTTTTGACAAAATACGGACAGAGCAAGCTTGGTTAGGGGGTTAATTTACACTATTCTGTGATATAGTGTTAATACTCGTCGGATTTGAACAGCGCCCCGTTTGAAAGTATGGTGCTACGGCGATCAATGACGGAACCACTGCGGAACCACGGCGATCATGGCGGTGCCACTGCGGTTTATGCCGTACAAGCACCGCAGTGGCACCGCACCTCCGGTGTGACGGGGGTATGACGGGTAGGGGAAAACTATGAAAAACTACCGCCGGTGTCACTACGGTGATGGCGGTTTTGACCAAAAAATGTAGTGGCACCTTGCCTCCGGTGAGACGGGGGTATACTCTTTACACCTGCCATTGATCACCGTGAAGCTCAGAAGGATAACGTTAGTGCCGTGATGGTTGATTAATGAGTCCGCCATTATACATGCATGCACACAGGGATATTCTGAGACACACTCAGCTCAGGTGGGACATAGTTCATAAAGACTAGTTTTGCTTTAGTTTCATAGTCTCTCTAGACCAGTGAAAAGCATCCGACATGAATTTCGGCGAGTAACGATTATACTGCGGGGATGGCTGATTTCCCCAACATTCCGTCATGCAACACATCGACTAGTCTTAGTATCATCCGTTATCCACGGAGCCAACTCCTGTATAACGTCTGATATGTCTAGACATGCAGATTAATGCAAGCCGCGCTCCAGCCAATTGGAGTCGACTTTACTAAATCGTGACCGTCATTTCATTCCCAATTAAATCAGGACTAAAACTGTGATTGATCAATTTGAATGCAGTGTTTTGTAGTACAACAACAGCCGGGCGCGCATTCGCGTAACATGATACAGAGCGCCGTCACCACCATGACATGACGCGCAACGGGTGAATGACCGAAGACCCGAAATCGAAAGAGCCCGCTGATTAGTCAAAATCTAGGAGGTCAAGAGGCGGGGTCTAGTTTAATCAGCAAATCTTAAGAATTTTAAAACACATTACCAAACGAATTAATTTTCTTCTAGTTTGGAGATCACGCCAGCCTAATTGGTCCAAAAGAGTCTATCTATCTGACTTTCTTCCCCAATTTATGGAATGGGGTGGGGGGGGGGGTGGGGGGAGAGAACACTGTGTATGCCATATGTACGGGGTGTCTAAAAAGTCGGCATTTCGTGCGTATTATAGCATGCTTTATGGGCTGCTCGCAAACTGAGGTCAAACAGGGCTGTGTGCGTGACATGACGTCGTCACGGGGCTTTGTTATCTCTTGGCCAAGGTCATCTGGCCGACTGCGCGCTTTGTCTGGTTTACGTTGGGTCAATTTTGACCACAAAGGATTTGAAGATGCAAAACGCGTCTGATACCCGTCAGTTCAGTGTGTGAATGAAGTCATTCGGGATTGTTCAGACACTGTCATAGTTCCTAAAGATTATCATTACTTTCATATAGTCTGTTTTGGCCAGTGAAAATTAGCATCTCTCGTGAATTTCTCAGCGAGTAACGACTACTGCGGGGATGGCAGATTCGTCCAACATTCCGTCATCATGCAACACATTGACAAACTGGAGTTGAGACCAGGAGACACGGTACTGGACGTTGGATGCGGTACTGGGGAAGAAACCAAGTCAATGGCAGGGAAAGTCAAGAGTGTAACAGGTAAGATTCAGTTCCATTCCTCGGCTTCTGCATCGCCAGCAGCTCCAGGGAGGAGGTGTTGACGCACCTATTTTTCCGGCTATCGTAGGTGGATTTTTGTGTTTGTTTTCTCGAGAAACTACATGCGAGCTGCTATATAGCCCATAAAGCCTCCTATGATATGCATGAAATGCCGACTTTTTAGACACCCCCTTCCCGTACGTATGGCATACGCAGTGTCCCCCCTCCCCCATTCCATAAGTTGGGGCAAAAAGAAAGATAGATGTCCTGTACATACACTGTATGTTTTCGGTGTGGCTGTTCTTGCACAGTATAATGTACATGTATAGGTGTACATGTATAGTTCATGTACATGTACATTTTGTTGTTGTACACCACACAGCATTACGAATGCTTAGTACACTTGCTGGCTATAATATTGTTGAAAGAGTCTATTATTTGTTAACGTCGCGGTTTCCACATTTTTTTCTTCAGCAGTGATCGTCAATTGATCACGATTATTCAGTAGTTTTATGGGAAAGTTATGTTTATTCATGAGAAAAAAAAACAACGTCACACCATTGTTGTTACTTAATGGATTTTAGTGCGATGAACTATATTGGCTCGCCCATTTTCCATCGACTATTTTTATGCCCCGCCGGCAAAGCCGAAGGGGCATGCTGTTTCCGCCTTGGCCGTCCGTGTGTGTGCGTGTACAAACACTGCCTTATGGGGCACCGGAACAATGGGAGGTACCCCACAAGGAATGCCCACCGACTTAATTGCGGGGAACCGTTTTGGTACCCCAAAAGTTTATTTCACGAAATAGATATATGGATTTTACTCAAAAACTAGGAATTTCCAAGGTGGGTTGATTTGTCTCAAATGGAAGTGTTTTAGAAATGGGATATTTTTTTTTTTTTTTTTTTTTTACCAAACCAGTATATAGTATAGCTTGCTAGTATAACTTATAAGTTTGGACCCCATAAGACAAAGACCAAGGTCATTAGGATTACAACAATATAGGATTTATTTATTTATTTATGTTTACCAAACCAGTATACATGTGCAAATGTAATCACTCACTAAAATATTAGGGGGCCTGTACACTGTTTATACATGTTTTTTGTATAATCAATGTGGCGTCTCCACCCGTTTTTTCTTTGACAGTCATATGTTTAATTGAAACAATAGAAAACAAACACATGTACGTATACATGCATTACTAAAACTTGAGACTTGCACTGTAGTATATGTACATGTTTATGCATTTCTGTGGGTTCTCCTTAGGATTTGGAGTCACTTTAGGACCCCATAGGCCATCTGTTCTCATTATTAAAAACCAAAGAAATGATGTCACAATGATAACTTAAGCTTACTCAAATAACCATATTTTCTTTTGATAATTTAAAAATTCTTATTTCCATGTAGGCCTTGTGAATGCTCAAAGGATTATAATAAAAAAAGATTTGCCTTTGAGAAATGTCTTGCTTAAGACTGAAAATATCCAGTCAGTTTGCTTAAATCATATCCAATGACTTCCCAACAGAGAAGCAAAAACCAAAAATTAATTATGTGATCATTGGCATCAAAACATTACATATATTGCCTATAGAAAACAATAACAATGTCAATGAACGTTCCATGTGACCCAGGTAAGTTGATGTTAATAGAGTGGTGTTATGTGATGGAAATAGGCATAGTTGTGTTTTTAACACTACTTTTCTTGTTGTTCTCAAATTGTATCGTTGGGATAATGTTAGTTTAAAGGAAAACAAGCCTCCGACAACCCAAGTGTCTTTCACCTTAGAGCAAGGAACTTGCTCTATGCTTCCACAACGTGTGATAAATATTCATGTCAGCATCGGAGGGGGGGGGGTGCAAGTGCAAATAATTACAGTGGGGGTGTGTGTAAAATTGAAAAATCACCGCCCGTGGGAAAAAAAAACCCAGGGGAGTGGGGCCGGATATTATTCGATGCTTGGGGCGCTGTTCAAACAAAACTGTAAATACGTTTCTATGAACAAAATAACCGCATTTTAGTGCCAGTTCCGAGGGGGGGGGGAGGTAGGATTTTTTTTTTTTTTTTGGCGGGGGCAAATTCCCCCATGCGGCCATTCCTCAGCCCCTCCCCCCCCCCCCCCGCCCTCCCCCGTCCCCGGTGGCGCCGCCACTTGCGATTAGAACATTAATGAGGGCGCTTTATCATTTCAAAATGTTTCATAGTCATAGAGTCCTGTAGTTTTAAATACGGCGTGTCCTGTGTCACCATTCTAACGGTCTTTTAAGCACACTATCCTCCAGATTAACTTCGCACACACAAAAAACGATCATTCCACAGGAGCTCGCATTTTCAACAGCAGTTTGAAGTTACTCCAAAAAACCGCTAATATACCACCATATCAACCAGAGTGCCTCTGTTCCCATTCCCTTTAGGTATTGACGCTTCAGAGGAAATGGTAGCGGTGGCCATTAAGACCAACTCGGCACCAAACGTAGCATACAGTCAATGGGACGCCCGAGCCGTGGGAGACAACCCAGACTGGCGAGAGGGATTCGACAAAGCTGTCTGTTTCTTCGTTCTTCACTGGTTTCCCGAGCAGACCCAAGCGCTCCGTAGCATCTCGGCGTGTCTGAAGCCGGGCGGGCAGACACTTTTTATCATCGACAACCACGATGACCTCTTCATTTTAACCCAAGCGACTTCCTTCTTGAAAAGTCACGAGAAGTGGGGTGCTTTTGTCCAGGTACATGTATAATTAAACAGATATCCTTCCGAATTTATTTAGATCGAGCTTTTTGGGGATTATTTTTGTTGTTTGGTTTGCGTAATGATCAAGATGCATTCATATTCCGGGTCGAATCTCAGTCCAATAAAAATTGTTAACTATACAGCGTTGCTGATTTCGTCTTAACGTGGGGGGGGGGGGGACCAACAGCATAGAAACAACTACCAAGTGGTAGAACGCCACGGCGGTCGGGTCATGAAGACGGCTTACGGCACGGGCTGGTCTCGGGCTGGCCGTACCGGTACTTGGAGAGTACAGAAAACAAAAACGAGTGGGGCGTGATCTAATATGCAAAAATATGCAAATGAGATGCATTCGCATCAGTGCGCAACCGGTCTTCGAATGCAAAGCTGTAATACTCGAGTTACCCTGACATTAGTCAGGCAGCTTAGGCCAGCTTTTGGAATGGATGTGGACATTCCGGACAAAAGCGCCTAATTGTTCATACATGCTCCTTATTGCCTTAGCTTTCAATTTTGGATAGGAACCAACTTATCCAATAACAATATGGAGGCCATCTTGGCTTTTAAAGATGGTTTTCATTGAAAACCTATTTTACCCATATCTCATCTTTTAAGCCAATAGGAGTACAGTTTTGGTGTATAAACATACATGTTTAGGGTCAAGGAATGCAACTGTACCATTTGGGATGGTATCAAATGGTTGTCCAGATACAGTATTGTTGCCATCTTATTTTTGTAGATGGCCGCTGGCATTGAAAACTACATGTGTTGCCACTTAACATTGAAATCTTAGTGTCTAAACATTGATTTTCAGGGTCAAAGAACGCAACTGAACCATTCGGGTTAGTGCTAAATGGTTAATTTGTCCACATACATTCGGTGACCATCTTGGATTTTAAAGATGGCCGCCATTGAAAACCTATATCTACCAATATCGTTCTTCTGAGCCACTTAGGATTACAATCTTGGCGTCCAAACATCCATTTTCAGGGTCAAGGAATGCTACTTCACCAATTATGACAGTGTCAAATGGTCAGTTTGTACACTATTGTGGCCATCTTTGATTTTGAAGATGGCCGCCAGATAATAATTGCATTTACTGATATCTCAGCTACTACCCCATATCAAATCACAGTCTACGTGTCAAAACATACATTTTCAGGGTCAACTCTTTTACAATTCTTTTATTTAGGAGAGACAAAGATGATTTTAGTTATACACACAAAATAGTCAAACTGAAGATAACATTTCTAACAGAATACCGTTGATATATACCGCAGTCACCGAAAATAATGTATGAATTATAAGTAAAACAGCATTATGTGAGAATAAATGTCATCACTCACACAAGTTTACAGTTTAAAATTGCGCGCCCTAATTCCATATTAACTAGTTCACTGCAGGCTTTGGAGGCCACAGGTAACATGGTCCAGACAGGAACCCATTACTGTTTTTGTTCATGTTCGACAGTTCGAGTGCCTGATCCTAAAAATGATTTTCCCTATTGCTGAAACATCCCTTATCCGTCAGCAACCTGGATGTTACATCTCAAAGATTCCGTTCGAAGCCTTAGAAGCAAAACATAGCTCAGCACTTAGCCGTCCGGAACACCACTGGCCCCTTGGTCCCTTGTAGCCTTCCTGTCTACTTTAGGGTGACCCTCCATCGTATCCTGTCATTCCCCGTAACAAAATTATAAAGACATTGGACAGCCTCCGAAATGGGAGCCAAACCACACACCCAAAGATGAATCGTTTTGGCTCCGTGCCATTCTTCAGCAGAGTATGCGTGCCCCGTCTGGGAGAGATCAGCCCACACCATGAAACCTGACCCAGCTTTAAGCAACATGCAGGTTGATCACTGGATGCTTGAAACCCACCAACACAAGTAATTTGCACCTCCTTACTTGCATTTCCTCTTCGGATTTTATTGATAAATGACGAGTGTCGCCTCCTCCAGGGACGGCAAGCTTCGGCACAAAAGGCTGAAGTCAAGAAAAGCTTCCTCAGCCATGTCCACTCCTTCACAACATCCAGGGAAGTGGCAAGACTCCAACACTGGAAGCAACGACAGAGAGCAAACGCCCACCGATTGTCATGGTTAGACTATAACAACGGCGGAAAACCTCCCAAAAGGTGTTACATCGACATGGGTTAAATGGAAAACTATAGGCCACTTAAGAACCAGGACTAGCCGATCACAGACCCGCCTTAATCAAATGGAGCTACAAAAGTGGTTCAGCTGCATGTAGTTGTGGAGAGGCAGAGCTGTATCACATCCTGTAGTGCCAGAGATTTCTACCTGCCTAGGTTCAAAGATGGCATTGACCCACTAAACAGGACGGTATTGGGCCGATACCATCTAATTATGGGTTTGTTGTGGCAGTACCATACAGCCTAAACGGTACAAGACCAGAAGCGGGCTAATGCTGGCTCGATTGCGCCAAAACGGTTCCGTGTTGACGGTACAGACACCACAGAGACGGAATTGGTCAAGTGCTTGCCCTATTAAATGGCAAACAGTAATGGTAACACCGTTCAGAGCCTGCTTCGGACAAGTGCTGGTCTTTTTAGGGCAGCAAGACGGCGCGCAGCCTGAACCGGCCATTGCAGGTCCTTACGATAAACCATGATGAAAAGACGGGAAAAGTCCTGAATCGGTCCCTTTATGGGAAACCATAATGGCAAGACGGTACACAACCTGAATGGGACCGGTTCCGGCCCTTTCAAGTCAAACCATAATGGTAAAAAGGTACATAGCCTGAATCGGGCCAGTGTTGGTCCTTTTACGGCAAACCATACGGCCGCCGTATTAAGTATCTGGACAAACTGACCATTTGGCACGATCCCAAATACATGAAGTACTAATCCAAATTGTTTTGTTTCGTTCCAGGACCCTGAAAATATATGGTAAGAATCCAAGATTTAGATCCTAAGTGGCTTAAAAATGCAATACATGTACACGTATTCTGAGATTTAGGTTTTAAAAGGCGGTCATGTTTCAAATACAAGATGGCCACAATACTGTATTTGGATAAACTAACCATTTGACACTATCCCATATGGTACAGTTGCATTCCCTGACCCTGAAAATGTATGTTTAGACACCAAAACTTTAATCCTAAGTGGCTTAGAAGATGAGATATTGGTAGATATAGGTTTTTAATGGCCGTCGTCTTTAAAATCCAAGATGGTCGCCATAATGTCATTGGATAAGTTGGTTCCTATCAACAATTGAAAGCTAAGACATTGAGGAACATGTCTGGAAAATTTGGCGCTTTTGTCCGGGATGTCCACATCCATTCATTAAGCTGCCTGACCTTACATGGCCGGGTAAAGTGTCCATCAACCAACAAACCAAGGGCGGATCCAGAACACAATTTTGGAGGGGGCCAAACGAAATTTTGGTCCCCCAAAAAGTGGGTCAAAAAATGACGGTGTGAGGTTCAGGGCCCGCTTAAGGGCCCCGAATTTGTGTTGGATTCTATATGCTCTGTGGTGTGATATTATGGAATTTCTTACCATTTTAAATATTTTTTTTTAAAAGATGGTTGCTTGCCTTTATTGTGACGTCCCTTCAAAAAAACCCCCAAGAACAGGGGTTTGTTCGGGGGCGAGGGGCATGTCCCTCTTTGTCCCCCCCCCTCCCCCCCGTATCCGCCCTTGCAACAAACCAACCCACCAGCCACCCACCAACCAACATAAGCAGCTCAAGCCAACGGCGTGTTTCACACCGCCGTGAGCAAAATTGAAAAGCGGATGTTAGTGTTCGCTCGTACTACCCCGCCCTGCAAACATCAGACGCTGGGATACTCTGATGAATTCACGCTCTGATTGGTTGGTTTTGCGTGACCTGTGACCTGCGCGTCATCACAGTAATGACTCAGCAAGGTTTTAAACGGTCGTTAAGACCGAGTCACTACTCTTTTATTCCAGTTTAGAGATTTTTTTTTTTTTTAAGCGTAATAATGTAGTAAATTCTGTAAAACTTATCTGTGTAGTAAATTTACAATTCCCGTCACTTGATCAGGCTCCGTTTCGAATCACGAACAGTCGGGTTCCATTATACGACGCGGACGCTCATAATTTTGTCTACATGGTCCGCTATGAAACAGTAAATCACATCTGGTATGGAATGCACGTATTTCTATGAGAAGGTTTCGGATAGCATTTGCACACATTGTCTAACTGCGGTCTTGGACAGCTGCAGCCAGATTCTTTATACATAGGTCTTAGGTCACTTCATTCACAGGATTCTGTGAAGCTCATCGATTAGCGTATCCCAGCGTCATGTTTGCAGGGCGGGGGGTACTAACGAAATGTTAGTGGTGGCCCAACGTGACTCATGGGGGCGCAATTACCAAACAAGTAAGTTTACAGTCAATTAACAAGCTGACAGGTATATAGTCCGGTTAATTTAGAATAAAACGGGAGCTGACCTAGAAGAAATTGCAATAAAAAGTATTTTAATGCTATATCACGCTAAGGAATGTGATCATGGAGTGGAGAAGTGTTCACGTTTTCTCTACTACTTTTTCATCATACGTATACAGTCGTATGGAGAGCGTCATGTTTTCTTTTGAGTCCGTTACTCGTCAGAATATCCGTTCACATCACGTTTGAGACTTTGCGAGACACGACTGATCACAGCACACGACTTTTCTATGCCAACCAATTATTACAATATTTGGTAATTTACTCTTTCGCACAATACTATAGGATATTTTCTTGAAAAAAAAATCAGGAAATTTGAGATTTTTTTTACTGCCCGAATTATTTATTAGTTAAAATATATCACTTTGTGCTCAACCATTTGTTTCATGGAAAAACTTTACATAAACAGGTCTACTTGATACAAGGGCGGGAAACCATTTAAAGTTAAATTTCAGGTGTCTACCGCACTAGGGCCGGAGTCTAATTTTAAAATATTAGGGAAAATATCCGAAATCTGAGATTTGTGTAATCCTTTTTTTGATGCGTTAGGGTCATTGGCATAACTTATAAATAAGATATAAATCGTCCAAAAAATGAATGTATACTCGAAAAACTTTTTGAAGGCAAATTAACGGGACTAACATCTTGAAGTGAAATTTTTGCTGAATTCTGAGATGAAGAGAAAAGAAATTAGGCAGCGTGACATGTAGTATCTATATAGGTAATAAACGTGCCGCAGATCAAAGTCTTGGGCCGGGGGCAGGGGTGGACCATGCCAATTATGTTTCAATAGTAATAACAAACCGAGGTCTGTTCCATCCTGAAAGAATCATTTCGTCGGGACTCAAGTATGCTTTTTTTGGAGTAATGTATTTCACTCTTGACCAGCGGCGGCGGAACACTTTTCAAACTGCACAAACCTCAGTGTTGAATTTAACACTGATATTATCTTTATCAGACCATGGGTATAACAAGTTTACACCCCTGGTCCTATATAGATACCACCATTGTTGAATTTACACCACAGTTTTTGCAGTGTAGTGCCCTGTATAAAATGAAGACTTGAATCAGTCGTCTGCTGCACTCGCATGAGGTCATGCATCCTAAGCATTAGCATATACAGACATGTAAATCGAAGTAAGTCACTAGACGAATTGTTCGAGGTCCCAAATTTTTATCTTAAAAAAAATGATTAAAAAAACACCCTTCCATTCCACAGAAACAATTCGATTTTTCACATTGCTTGAATGGTTTCTATTTCAATTTGTTCAAGGTCTTAACTTAAATTGACCGGACTTTTATTAAACATGCGTGGAAAGGCCTTATTTAAAGCTTCAAGCTAAAGAGGTGTACGTACAGTTCACATGCCGACCGGCCTTTTTGAGACGGACAGAACGGTAATAGAGGTGTATTGCCTTGGCTTTTGTCTTTCAGGACTACAAGTCATCACTGTTCATGTGGAACTTATCAGTTCAAGAAACGCAGAAAGTCTTCAAAGCGTGTGGCTGGGCCGAGGCTAAGTGTGAAGTGCGGAGACACGACGACGTCCTGTCTGAAATTCAGTTAAAATGTAAGCCTTTGCAATCAAAATGGATAGCTTTCGAACCACACGTATCCCTTCGAGCTTCAAGCCCAAAAACTTGTCCACGAGAAGAATTTTATCATCACACATGTTTCTAGGTCAATAACCCCCGCATGCCTGGACATGCACAAGATATAGGTCATTCACGTCGTCCGGGATTGTTTACAATCTGTCTGAGCTCTGAGCGGCACAAGGGGTTGACACAAAGAGATCGGCGGCACTTGGGTTGGCCACTAAGATCTCCAATTACTACACAAACTGGTATTAGGCGCCATCTTGGCTTCTGTCTTTCAACACTCCTTACTCTTGAGTGGCTAGGGTCTGGCCAATGGTAGTCTACAGGCTTGTGGTGTTTTTGTGGTGTATAGTAGGGGTGAGGATTACATGGAAGCTTGGCCTAATTGGCCCACTGAAAAAAAATATGACCATATTTGGAAAATGTGGAGAATTTTATCTGCGGCTCGATGCTCGAAGTGCAATTAACAATTTCCTTTTAATACCAGTACCAGAGAAGTGGACGAAGCCGAAGAGGCTTTAGCAGTATCAACGATATCAAACAAGGACGTTTTAGCCCAGACTTTATCACTCAAAAGGACCTTATTTTTGTCTCGCCTGAACTTTGTTCAGGAGAGAGACTATGCAATCACTTTGTCTATCTGTGTGCGTGTGTATGTGCGTCGTATATATATATGTGTATGTGGTATTTTGGTTAAAATTTCGTAACATTGGTCTCATTTCTAAACTTGACAACCTTCATACCTTCATAAACGTAATAAACTAGCAAATGTTTCTATAAATCACTTGCTTCGTATACAGTTATGATTATACAGATAACATTTACTAATGTTGATCTGGAATCTTCAAATTTAGGCCCCCCAAATAGCACTGTAAGCAGTTGGAGCCGAATGAAGACCAAGTTTTTTGAAAATCTCGGTAACGGTCGTCAAATTCAAAATAGTACATGACGCAGCAAAAGGTTCGCCCATATGACCCGAGTATACTTGATGCTCAAAATCGTCGTTGAATTCATTTTAAAAACTTTTTAATTAGCAATTAGCAGTTAATTAAACATACATTTAAGTCGGAAAAACTCGGGCGCTATCCGATTGTCTACGCAATAAATTCGGCAAACTTGGGACATTTTCGGAAAAAGGAGAAATTCCTCCCGCTTTGGTGTCACGTGACGTATATTTGTTATACAATGTATTACCGGAGGCTACCTGACCCAAGATTCATCAGGAATAGTCAGAATATTTTGGTCTGGGAACCAGACTAGGCCAAGGTTCGCTCGTACCCCCGCCCTGCAAACAGGACGCTGGGATACTCTGATGAATTCGAGCTCTGATTGGTTGGATTTTGCGTGACTTGTGACCTGCGCGTCAATACGGTCATGACTCTGCAAGGTTTGAAACGGCTGTTAAGACTGATTCATTATACTTTTATTCCAGTTTAGAGATGTGTTTCCGTTGGAAAAGCGTAATAATATAGGAAATTCTGTAAAACTTATCGGAGTTGTAAATTCACAATTCCCGTCACTTTCTCGGGTTCCGTTTCGAATCACGTACGGTCGGATTGCATTATGCGACGCTCCAATTTTTGTCCACATGGTCCACAATGAAACAGCCTCACATCCGGATTTGCCACACACAGCGTGCGGATTTGCCACTTCGTGAAAACGCAAAACGCAGAGGTCAGTGGATTCGCCAAACTTGAAAACGATGCCAATGTTGTGAAGCATTATTGTGTTTCCTTTAAATGTGGTCTGCGGCTGCAGGGCCGATTGGAATTTAAGTAATGCAATTGTCATGTTATGCAAGGCTGTCTTTATAAGTCAACCACTGTATTGTACTCGGCGCAGTTGGTCTAGGGGCGCCGTCGACAACGCCCAACATTTATTACTGTTCGCTTCACGATGTAATCTTATCTTATGTTCAGTTGAGTTGTCAGAAATAAATTATTTGGACCCAGAATTGGTCTCCGTATTTATATTTCTTTGAGTTTTGTCCTCGTCGATCCCGGTAGTGTTTAGCAACACAACATATGGTGGAAGATCCGGGTATCGATCCCGGTACCTCTCTGTTGTGTTGCTAAACACTACCGGGATCGACGAGGACAAAACTCAAAGAAATATAAATACGGAGACCAATTCTGGGTCCAAATAATTTATTTCTGACAACTCAACTGAACATAAGATAAGATTACATCGTGAAGCGAACAGTAATAAATGTTGGGCGTTGTCGACGGCGCCTCTAGACCAACTGCGCCGAGTACAATACAATACAGCTCTTCGCGCGATTCTACGCTCATACGCGCACAGTGAATACGTTCAATCGGCGTGGCCGCCTCGGTTTCGATCGTGTTACTTGCTATTACATGTACTTATTTTGTACAAATTGAACACGTTTGAGGATTGTAGTATGATGTGTACAAGTTTAAATGTCAGGATAACAGTTTATTTTAACTGGTATTGAATTTCCTTCAATGTGACCCTGGACAATATAGCTTATTTCTTATATCATTCTCATTGTAAGGGAAGTTTATATAGTAATGGTAAAGGGGTGGATCCGGGATCCAAGTTATGTAACTGTTCACATATCGGTGGCTGTAACTGTATGTATTTAACCCTAAATAAAAAAAATGATACAGAAAAGCTACTCTTTAATTTACCAGCACTTCTTCATTGATAAATGCAGGTACTTCTGGAGTTTACAATTAAGGAACATTTAAAAGAGATTTAAGTAAAAGCAGTTACTGCTTGATGTTATGTAGATATTTTTTTTTACATTTTGATAATTGTTATTCTTGAGATGGGCCGCCCTCACACTTTCTCCACTATTAAAGCTACAAAATTAATCACGATGAATCGATTACATCTGAGACTTTTAATGCTTCAGAGATTTTAAGAGTATAAACTCCATCGTTACTTAAAAAAAAAATCTTCGTTCATACGATATTAAAGAGAAAGTATCTGTTTTGCCTAAATAAAACTAAGTAATAAAACTATTTCCATGTTACTTCCATACAATTTTTAGTCACATGTTTGGTTTCTGGTTTTCAGTTGTCAGCTTGTAAGACATCCACAAATAGATTATGAGTCCATAATTGCACGCTTCAAAATCTTCAGTTTCATTGTAAGGATTTAAAGAAAATCTTACCCCATTGGGCAATCTTTAAGCTGTAAGATAGCAGTCTGAAGATAGTTGCTTTTAAATATATTTGCAATGGACATTATTAAGAAATCACAGAACAGATTAATTTCACACATAAGGGACTCAAGCATTTCAACTTAAAGGGGTTTTTGTGCAAGCTATGAGCCTAAATTAGGACACAAAGAAGGTTTTGTTGGAATCGTGTCTATCGTGCACAGCATCGCCTGCAAAGACAGAGAGATAATGAGAAAGGGAAAAAGAATGGCAATTTGACTGTTTGTTATTATTCACAACATATACATTCATATTTGCTGCAAGCTATGGTTGGTAACAGGTGCTGAAGAGCTTTAGTCACTGTTTATACTCAGACTTGAAATGAAGGACAAGGGAAACAAATCATTGTGTTTATGCCACAGCCACAGAGGAGTGTTTTGTTTCGGATACCAGTGATAGGGCAAACCGGTTAAATTGTCAATTGTAATTGTTTTGTAATATTAATGGGCAACACTAGGCCCGACCAGAAAGGGCAACACCAAAGCCCCAAAGCCACAGCGGCATACATTAACAACGAACATTTTACAGACATTACAAAATGGAGTTCACATGTGACAACGGACATAATGTTATCAAACACATAACACGTGGGCAAAACCAGGCCCGACCAGAAGTGGGCAACACCAGAGGCCCAAAGCCACAGCGGCATATACACGATATACTTGGCAATAAATGAAATACATGTATGAAAATGAGATATAATGCCATTAATGAAAAATCAAACTTGAATAATACAAATTAGCTTCCCACTGATGTCACATTCAGTCAGGAAAACGCAGCCTCGGAAAAATTGAGAGCGCTACGGCAAGTATCACATTTGCCTAACAAAATAGAAAAACAAGGGATTTAACTGGTTTCATTTGCCCCATAATCTGAGGAGTTAAGTTAATGGCTGGCTGTATCCTAAAATTGTCAACATTTAATACTGTAATTAATATACATGTAGTCTCAAGACAATTGCAAGCACTATATTGGAATGAAAAATAATAAGCAAAATGCCACTTTGGAGCCCTTATAACTGGCGGGTATTAAGGGGTGGTGGTGGGAAACATTTTGCAAGGAAACTTCCTCTGTGTACTGTCTTGGTGACTGGCTGTGACCAAGTGACGATGTGCTTGCGTCAAGCATGCTTAAGCGACCAGAGGCCCCACATACCAAGATTGGCTATAAAATAGATTTATGACGATGATGATGTGATGGCATTCCTGTGCCCCCTGGATGCCTGGTCAGACCCCCCAATAACCAGACATGCTGTCTCCGATGACCCACCCATCAATCATCATATGCAACAGACTCAGATCAAATATCCCCTTCCAGGCCGAGTATAACACCTTTTTATCATGAATTGGTAAAAGGAGTTATCATTTTCAATATAAGTTCCTTCTGAATTTCAAAACTAAATCACATCCAGAGCGATTCAAAACCCAACTGTAAGCAAGCATATTGTGTTATTATAAAGACAAACTTTAGCACAAATCCAAATGTCTAAGGCACAATGAACAAGGCAACTCCTTGTTAAGTGCATGATTTTATGTTGGTGAAAAACAACAACTTTGGCAAAAGTGCTACATGTTAAATTACATTCATAACAAAGGATGAAGGGACATTCAAATATAATAAACCTGTTGTTTTTTTTCTGGACAGAGTGTACTTTTATCAGTCACAATCTGAATCAACACTTTTCCCTGGTTTCTAAAAATGTGCCTTCCTCAGAAACACATGTACCCAGTTTTACAGTTCTGTTCCTGAAGAGATGCAGCATTTTCCACTCCTGCTGAACCAGAACAGCTCTGTAAATAAAACAAACAAACAAACACACCGACAATTAAGAAGTAGGCTACCACAGTAACTTAAACAACTATCATATAGTATTCATTCACTCGAAAGTTAAAATTAAGAAGTAGTGATGGGGACATTGTATCCAATGACATCATGTTCTACGGATCTGTGATGTACATGTACAATTTTTAATATTGTGAAACTTCATTTTTGTATATTTCTATTTGCTATTTAATATGTCTGGTTTTAACCATGATGCTGAAATGACACAACATGTTTTTCTCAAGGACTTACGTTTCACATCAAGGTACGCCAATCAGTCTGATGTTGACACTTCTGAAACTGCAGATGTCAAGCTTACATATCCTATAGCTGCTGTTGGATAAAAAAATGTGGAAACATTTTTATATTAAAATGAACTTATCATGCAGTTATCCAAAAGGGCTAATGCATTAATTGTGGACATTTCCTTTTGCAGGTTTTGGCATCCTATTTTAGCTCTAAGCTAAAAATCCATGGGTGACATAATTGTTCAACTCGTTTCTGGCTGATTATTTCAAGAATTTTTTTTTTCACTCGACGATTCTCTAATTTACACTGTTCAAACGATTAGAAAGGTTAACTTTACTACAAAATCCATTTATGTCTGGAGCATGTTTATGAAGGGCCTTGGCCACGTTGTACTTGTGTCCCCCTAAATAAGCTAAGTACTAATCTTGCCCTGGCCTAGGCTAGGCTAGCCCTGTCAGCAAGGTCAGTACTTGGACAATAATTAGCATTTGTACTTCTTCAAAAGCACTATATAACCATAACTACGGTAGTTCTGGCGCAAGATGATCAAGGGGTGGACTATTTTCCCCACATAAGTAAAGTAGCTTAACCATGGACAAGGGAATGTTGTGTAAACATGACCCATTCATGTCAGCATGCAATTAATCACTATTCATAATATATGCGGAATTCGTGTATTTCCGACATGCGTATTTTTCGTTCATCTGGTCTGGGCAAAGAACGATGGAATGACCAAAACTTGCAACAAATGATAAGAACCACGTATCAGAATGTCTTTAAAATAGTCGAATACAACCATAAATATGATTTAGCTCAAACAATATAGCTCGTCTAAACGGTCAAAACTTACCGACTTACCAGGACAGCCGGTCGCATGATGATGAGCCGTGAGAACGAAATAGTTTTGTATACGTGACGACGTGACAACAACAACTCAGCCCTGAGATAAAAGTTATTCGTCACTTACATGTGTGTGCGTCGCGTTTTCACAAAGTGGCGAATCAGGGATTTGCCACTTCGTGAAAACGTATATTCCAGAGAGCAACGGATTCGCCAATTATGTAATTAGCGTAACTAATAAATAAACATTGTCCGGTCTTAAAACTTTGCAGAAATGTTTAGGACACGAATTAAGTCAAAATAGCCAAAAAAAAACCGAAATTGAAAAAAAAAATGATTTTCGATGGATTCGCCACTTCGTGAAAACGCCGACAAATTTTACACCACTATGACTTTGCGCCTCTTTGTTTTTTTTTCTCCTAGTAGGGGGGCCAATGTACAGAATTGGGTTCCCGTGGAAATTTCATGTTAATTTATGGCAACCATTATAAATGTAAACTTATGAGTCCTGAGAACAAGAACATTGATGTTGCCATTTTTTCCATTGACCTTTAGTGACCTTGACCTAAGGTCAAAGTTCATGGGTCATGGTCACCTAAAATGATGTGTGAAGGGTGTGTGAAGATTTTCCAGGCAAGTGAGCACATTTTGTATTTGGTTGAGAGTTTCTCCATCATAAAACATGTTATTATTAATGTATTTATGAGTTTTGCTGAAGAAAACATTAGCAAATGTCACTTTTACCCGAAAAGGACCGGGTTGATTTGACCAGTTGTGGTAAGATCCCACTCGACAAGTAGTAGGTACAGTTGTTCTATGACAGGGATACCTCTGATGGTGGTGTTGAGTTCCTCGTAGAACTGGTCGTTAGCATTTTATTGGAAAGGGATAATGTTGAGAAGCCGTGCTATTGGAAGAGGATAATGTTGAGACGCCGTGCTATGCAATAGAGTGCTTCAGTGGAGATTGAGCCGCTCATTTCTCCATTTCACCCCAGCACATCCTAACCCATTTGACCCCAAATGGATAAGGCTTACTCCTAACCTATTCTGATTGTTTATGGGCAATTCCACGACAACCTTGGTTTACATTTTCAGGCACTTTTATACGAAAAAAGGAGTCTCAAAACTTAATGTATTGTTTTCGTTGAACACTATCACATAGTCAATTTACGAAGTTGTAAGCTTTTATTCGTGGGGTGTTGCGCAACAGTTTAAACATTTTTACTTTCGTTATATAAAAGAACATAATTTATTGGAGGTCTTAATTCAAAATCTCCTCAAACTGGACATGCATTGATACAAGTAATGCAAACCGTTTGGACTCCTATGAAATCCAGTGCCTTTTACTGTTTTTAGGCTAAACGTTCACAATCCTCACGCAGCCATGCGCTGCACTACTAGTGAGTTAGTATTTCATATCTATACTACAATTCAAGGAATCTCTGTCTGTCTGTCTGTCTGTCTGTCCGTCTGTCTGTCTGTCCGCCGATTATCTCCAGAACCGGGCACCGTATGAAGTTGAAATTCGGCGGGTGTGTTGCTCGGGACAACAGAATGTGCAGTGCCAAGTTTGAAGGGGTTTGGACCAGCGGTTGTCGAAAAAGCTGCAAAAAAAAAGGATTTTCTGAGGCCTAGCGCGCCAGAATATAGCCTAGAACCCGGCGCGCACTGATGTTCTTTTCAATTGTTTACGTCATGTTTGAGCAAGAGCGCGCGTGCTTAATATGACGCAACAATGGAAAAAGGACGGGCACATTGTAGGGCGATAGCACTGCACACCATGTCTTCGTACGTGAGTGGCATGCACGCGCACGGGCACATGCATTTTGTAGTCAACTGAGCAACCATCACTGCACTGTATGTAGCCTAATGTAGGCGGTCGTCTGAGCAACTCTAATACAATATTGTATCGCCCTACAACTACGCCCTACAGTTGTAGGGCGATACCATATTGTCCAGTAAGGGTAAATATCAGTGCCGGGGGGTGACGACATTTTGTGCGTTTAACTTGCGAGTGTGCGTTCACACCATTGAATAATGTGCGTTATTTGCACGAGCTGCAGTTCTCAACAGCCCCTTCCGAACACGCACATTTTCGACTGGCCCTGCACTAGTCTACTTTAATTCCGGGAATCTATGTCTGTCTGTCTGACGGGCTATCTGTCTGTCTGTCTGTCCGCCGTTTATCTCCAGAACCGGGCACCGTATGAAGTTTAAATTCGGCGGGTGTATTGCTCGGGACACCAGAATGTGCAGTGCGAAGTTTGAAGTTGTTTGGACTAGCGGTTCTCGAAAAGCTGCAAAAAAGCAGTAGTTTCTGAAGCCTAGCGTAGCAGTATATATCTTAGAACATAACACCATGCACTGCCGTTCTTTTCAAATGTTTACGTCATTTAAAGCTAAAGCGCGCAAGCTCAATATGACGCAACAATGGAAAAAAGGACGGGCACATTGTTGGGCGATACCATTGTGCAGTATAGGTGAATAGCACTGCACAGTATGTCTCCATACGTACATGTACGTGAGTGGGCATGCACAGGCACATGCATTTTGCTGTCAACTGAGCAACCATCACTGCACTGTATGTAGGCGGGCAACTGAGCAACTGTTACTGTAGGGCGATATCATATTGTCCAGTAGGGGTAAATATCAGTGCCAGGGGATGACAACATGTGTGCATTTAACTTGCGAGTGTGCGTTCAACCTGTGGAAGCACCATTGAATAATGTGCGTTGTTTGCACAAGCTGCAGTTCTCAACTGCCCCTTCCGAACAGGCGCATTTTTGACTGGCCCTACACTAGTCCTTAATATAATTCCAGGAATCTCTGTCTGTCTGTCTGTCTGTCCGTCAATTTTCTCCAGAACCGGGCACCATATGAAGTTGAAAATCGGCGGGTATATTGCTCGGGACCACAGAATGTGCAGTGCCAAGTTGGAAGTGGTTTGGACCAGGTGTTCTCGAAAAAGCTGCAAAAAAAAAGAGCATTTTTTGAGCCTCAACGTGGCAGATTATATACCTATAGAACACGCGCAGTCCTTTTCACTTGTTTACGTCATGTTTGGTGAGCAAAAGCGCGCGTGCTTAATATGACGCAGCAACGGAAAAAAGGACGGGCACATCATGGGAATGTTTTTAATTGTTTACGTCATGTTCGAGCTTTAGCCAGCGTGCTCAATATGACGCAAACAGTGCAAAAAGGACGGGCACATTGTAGGGCGATAGCACTGCACACCATGTCTTCGTACGTACATATACGTGAGTGGCATTCACGGGCACATGCATATTGTAGTCAACTGAGCAACCATCACTCAACCTCGTGCCCCGTGGGTACGACCTTGCAGCGCCGTGTTGCTTCCCAACATGCCTTGCGCGATCGTAACCCCTGGAATTGTGTAACTTAAATGTGCCAAAATATGGCACATTATAATTAGGGCTGCAGTTTATCCGTTTTACGAGCCGACGCCATCTTTAAAATGTTAACAGTTGTGATTTTGAAGAATCCATCCTTTCAAACACAACGTTTGGACGTTGTGTTAATTAGCAAAGATTTGTTTTAAATGTACGTACTCCTTTCGTACCTTTACAACCACAGATACAAGGTTTTCTAAGCGAAAAACGCGGCTGACATAATCCATATCGTACAGGCATCGCGACTTTTGAATCATATTTTTTTTCCTACGTGACGTTACGTGCAAAGCTAAGCACGCGAGGGCGAGCGCATTATGGGCGCGCCCGGCGTGCAATCTACGAAATGCCCGCGCTGTACGCTGTGAATAGCCATTCAGCGTCATTTACGTCATCATCACAGCCAGGGGCTAGTGTAAGGAACGAGAACGCGACCCCTGGAGTCGTGGCTGACCATCACTGCACTGTATGTAGGCGGTCGACTGAGGAAGTCTAATACAATATGGTATCGCCCTACAACTACGCCCTACCAAATTTTCTAGTAGGGGTAAATATCAGTGCCAGGGGGTGACGACATTTTGGGCGTTTAACTTGCGAGTGTGCGTTCACACCATTGAATAATGTGCATTGTTTGCGAGAGCTGCAGTTCTCAACTGCCCCTTCCGAACACGCACATTTTCGACTGGCCCTGCACTAGTCTATATTATAATTCCAAGAATTTCTGCCTGTCTGTTGGTATTTCGATTATCTCCAGAACTGGGCGCCGTATGAAGTTGAAAATCGGCGGGTATATTGTTCGGGACAACAGAATGTGCAGTGCCAAGTTTGAAGTGGTTTGGATGAGCGGTTCTCAAAAAAGCTGCAAAAAAAACCAGTATTTTCTGAGGCAAACATGGCAGTATATAGCTTAGAACATGACACCACGCGCTGCCGTTCTTTTCAATTGTTTACGTCATGTAAAGCTAAAGCGCGCGTGCTCAATATGACGCAAACAATGCAAAAGGGACGGGCACGCGATACCATTGTCCAGTAGGGGTGAATTTCTGCGCTGTTTTTTGCTTTTTCGAGAACCATGCACTCGCCCAAACAACTTCAAATTTGGCACAAACTTTGACGTGAGTATACGTTCAACTTGTGAAAACAACACCATTGGATCGCGTGCGTTGTTTGTAAGAGCAGTTCTCAAAACCTCAGCAAGCATACAACCAATACCAGCGGCAAAGCAATTTGCGCTTCCCCAACATGCACATTTTAGACGGGCACTGCACTAGTAGTCCTAAATTCACAATACACGTACACCGTTCTGAGCCACATCGCCCAGTACGCACGACGCGCGCGCCAATCTCCATATAAGGAGTTGTTAACCACTTGCGAGACTGGAAATAACATAATATACCTGGAGGGGTGTCCCGAAAAACATTAAGTTAAATTGCTGAACAAAATCGTTGAACATTTATAATATTTGACTTGTTTTGACTTTTGGACCGTCGGCTCGGGTAATTATCAGCACTCAAACAATCATGATGTATAAAAAGACCAACCTTATACAGCACACAAAAATGCAACCCAAAAAGACCCCCAAAAAAAAGCCACAAAAAAAAAAACACACCTTAAACAAAAAGAATTTCAAAACTACAATATTCATCAACGTTATATTTTGCGTAATAGCGATATGTTTT